TCTTCTCACTTTGATGGAACTTTCTAATCTAAGAACACATAACCGACTGTTAATGGGGGATCCAATCGGTTAGTACTGCCTCAGCTCTAGCGCTTAGTGACAATATTGCCAGCAAAACCAGATGAAGATGCCACAGGGTCCCCGGATAAACGCACGTAAAACAAACCTTTTGAAGTGACAGATGGAGAGCGAATTTGTAGTACTTCACCAGAGTCTTGAATACGGGTCTCGGATAGACAACAAACGTCGATATTAAGACTTTCCAAAGACATAGCCAGCCCTATCTGTTGTCCGACCTGCATGAGTGTGTGGAAGTTGAAGGCAGCCAGTTCGAATGATGCACGTGATTTCAGAGTCAGTCAGTCAGCTACAACGTAGGACCAGGCACATATATGCATCGGTCCAAGTTGCCATACCTCATTAATACAACAAGATGGACACCGGATTCATAAAAGTAGTTAATTTAGAGGTGGTATTATATAAAAGAAAGATTGCAATAAGGATATAGTACAGGAAGAAAGAATTAGTCGGTAGAAAGAAAGATCTGAAGCAATTTTAATCTCTTAGTTTGAGGGAAGATAGAGGGTGTATACACCATCGCCATTGTGATCGATTCGGAGCCATGTCACCAAGAGTCTCCAACCATTGGTTACGATAGTCACGCGGACCCCAACCAAGTAGTCTGTATCTCCCAACATGGCTCAGATCAGAAGTTAGTGGCTTTATGGACTGATGCTACGTTTTGGTTTGGCTGCCACTAAATTTATTTCATCCTTCTCCAACATTATTCAGCATTGCTCGTCGTGGTAATCGGTGTTCGGGCATACGTAACACGTGGCCCAACCATCTCAGTCGATGAATATTCACAACCTCATCAACTGATTTACCATCGTTCCCTAATACCCTGCGTCTAACCTCACTATTACTTACCCGGTGATCCCAGCAATATTTCTAAGACACCTGTGGTCAAATACTAGTGCCTCACGAGTATCCTCTACTCTTAATGGCCATCTTTTGATGCCGTCAATTAAAACAGAATGAACTGTCGCGCAGTATACTCGTTCTTTTATTGATAGACGGATATCTCGCCTTCGCCATAGATGACGTAAATTGGCAAAAGCCAAACGAGCTTTTTGAATCCGTGCAGAGATTTCATCAAACATCAACTCATTAGGGCTGATCAGACTTCCAAGATAAGTGAAGCTGTTGATGCGTTTGACCACTTCATATCCTATCCTTAGTCCAGGTGTTGACACAGACCAGTCCTGAAGCAACAACTTGCATTTAGACGGAGAGAAGCGCATTCCAAACATTCTGGCATTGTTGCTTGGTGCTACCAAAAGACTCTGCATTTTATCGGCGTCTTCACCAAACAGGACTATATCATCTGCGTATTCTAAGTCGATAAGTGGATCTCCTGGAAGGAGATCAATACCCGAGAACTCAGTCGACGAGAATGTTATTTCTATCAATAGGTCTATGATGAAGTTAAACAGAAATGGAGAAGGTGGACAGCCTTGACGGACACCACTTGAGGTTACAAAAAAGATGACAGTTCGCCATAAGCTCTGACTCGACTAGTAGTGTTCGAGTAAAGAGCCTTTACAAGGTTTATGTACTTCTGAGGTACGCCCTTCAATGACAGACACTGCCACAGTATCTTGCGGTCTACCGAGTCAAATGCTGCTTTTAAGTCGAGAAAGACCACCATTGTCGGACGTCGATAAGTATGCCTGTGTTCTAGAACCTGACGAATGGTGAATATGTGATCGATGCAGCCATGACCAGGTCTGAAGCCAGCTTGGTTCTCTCGTGTTTGCAGTTCACGAGTCTTAGTTAGGCGTCTGATAATTATCGAGGCTAGTATTTTAGATATTATATTAGTTAAACTAATCCCTCTATGGTTGTCACAGGATGACTTTGACCCTTTCTTATATATTGGGACGATAAGTGATTGAGACCAGTCAGATGGAATAACGTCTAACTCCCAGGTCTTAGCTAAAATATTAGTCAGCCTAATCGCTAAAATTGGACCAACATCCTTAAACACTTCTGGAGCTAATCCATCTGGACCAGCTGCCCTTCCTCGTTTCAGATTAACTATAGCCGTTTGAACTTCAGCTACAGTTGAGGGACCTACTTCAATGTCGCATCCAGTGTCTGGGAATGGAGGGTAGTTGTAGAGTAGCTGAAGACCAGCTGAACTGTTCTCTGAAATGTTCCGCCCATCGTTCTAAACGTCTGGACTGGAAGATGAGAGTATCGTCTTTCTCCGAAATAATCTGACTTACACTTGACTTATTAATTCCAGTTTCTTTTATTAGTCTGTAAAGCTGTCTTGTGTTCCCTACAGTCGCCGCCTTTTTCATCTCTTTTGCTTGCGTTACCCACCACTGCTCATGGTCGTTCCTTAGACTTTTGCTTAACCTAGATCTGATTTGTTTACGCTCTTCATTATGTTTAGAACCTGATGGGACGAGTTTGCGAGAATCCATCAGTGTGATAGACCTTGAAGAAATCCACTGGTTCTTTGTAACTCTGTGGTTTAAGTCACTAATAGATGTCACTGCTGTTTCCACAGCTGCTTGTATGTCTTTCCAAGCAACATCTGGGTCAGCCTCGTTTCCAGAGCTACCTAAGTGTGACCTCAGTTGTTCCTGGAATCTACTTTTGGTTTCCTCATTACTCAATTCAGTTTTAATGGGTCTTTTTAGTGTGCGTTTTTGCATCCAGTGAGGCGCAAACAGATGCGTGCCTGTATTAGGGCATGGTCGAAGTACAAGCAGGTACGTGGTTTCAGAAAAACTGCTTCAGTATTCGTATTTGGTTGTAGCATACAATTTTCAACCGGGCAGTGACTCGAAAACGTTTAGATAGAACCGAGTTTCCACCATAGGCGAGCTGCTGTATAAGTCGAAAAAGAAGGATACACAGAGTGGGAATAAATGAGAGTGAATAAGTGACGTGGTAAACAATAATAATAATGTGAATTGTTTGACTGTTAATCGAAGCGTGAACAGTCTTTTCAGTAACTATCGTCATTTCATTCTATGTGTGTGGGCTGTGATACTACCCAGGTGCCCAAACCGAAGCAGGTGGTTTTCTTAGGGGGCCACACCCCGAGCCTTTGACCTGAAGGTCTGATCCACAAGGCGGTGGAGCAACGTAAGGAGATGCAGCTCCATGGCAGCCAGTGACCAACAATTGGTTCATACGCCATTTGTTCCTTCAGGGTACTGGAGCCCATGTGCACCATTGGTTTAAAATCCGGTTAAAGCGCCGGAAATTCGCTTTTCGTCCTCTCATTTTCGTAAACAACACCCCCGCCACGAGAAGGCAGTGAGTAGAACTTCCCTAGCGGAGGCTGTATACGTGTGGCCATGTGAGAGCACTTCGAGAGGGAGGGCGGGCCCTCCCCACTCCCGACTGTACCACGGCATTCGGGGGTAAATAGTTATGACTTCGTTTATTTACGTAAATATTGTGCCCCTAACATTGGGGCTTTTAAAGCAGTTCTGTAGATATTTTTCTGATGGAGAAGAGTTAGTCCGGAATCAAAGCCACGCTGACCTGCCCATAAGTGTTAGTCAAATAAACCTAGGCAAATATTCTGAATAATGATTTTACGGGGTTTCCACCCATATGATTATGAGCTATTATAACTAGGCAAACCTATTTGAATAGTAACACTCAATAACAGTAGAACCTCGTCATATTTATATAAATTGCCAAAGCAGAATAAGGACGACAGATGATTTCTATGTTGCGGACAATTAGTAAAATACTAATAAAATGAAAAGAACAAGTGATGTTCAGGAAATGTGAAGAAGCTAATAAGAATTGTTGCAGGAAATACACTCAAGAGTCTATGAAAACTAGAATGAAATGTTTATCCTTATTAGTTAAAGAAACTATATTGTCATGAATTGACAACGATAAACTTTTGAACTCCCAAACTTTTTAGTGTAAACTGACATTTATTTAAGCAGTCTATTTTTAAGCAGATAAAATAGTTAAAACTGATCTGGCTACTTGATTAGCCTCACGAAACAGCAAATGTGAGGAATCGACAGCTGGGGATTCGAAAAGTACGAGGTAAGTAACTAGCCAGATACATTAACCGTAACGTGATTACGGTTCATACTTAATGAGTCTTTATACACGTTATTGATAAAAAAAACTAACCTCAAACTATTTATGTTTTAAGAGTTAATAAGCTAGGTAAAACTTAAGTGAATAATAAGGCCTGTTGATTCCCGTGTAATGTAATCTCTACAAAGATAGGCAGGCTGACTTTGTAAAGGCCAAAACGTGCCATCAGTTCATGAAGTCACTGACCATTGGACTGAGTTGTGTTGGTAGATACAAGCTACCTGGCTGGGGGCCGCACGAATATCACAACCAGTGATTGAAGACGTTGAGTGACATGGCTAAGGAGCGGTCGCAATTATGTAAATGGATTCACTATATACCTTCTCTTAAATATTGATTTTCGAAACTATATGATGCTTTATCGATTCACAAATCCATCTTTTCTCGAGTCGTATACTACCAGTGGTACTGTAACTGCTTCTTCTACTATTATTTTTGTCTTAATAACATCATTTCGCTGTGTTGCACTAACTTGATGCCCGTATGCACCAGGATCTAAATGGTGTTTAACTGGATGATCATATACAGACATATATTTGAATGTTTGTGTATAAGATAAACAAAAAATGTACTTCAAATAAACTGATTTGATATTGTGGTCTACATATATAGAAACAACCTAGTACGCAATTAGGATGATGGTTTTGATAATAAATGGTATCTATCGAGAATTTTCAATGAAAACATTTGTTCATAATTTGAGACATGTAAAAAATTGATTTAAGATGGATTCAATGAAAAATGTTTGCTTCAGATAGATATGAGTAAAAAGACGCATTGAAATATACAGTATATGAAAGACAATTTCAAAATAAGATAAAACTATACATGGAGTCTGAAAACTGTTCTCATATAAGGCCTTCCATTTCACGCATAAACTCTTCATATGCATCATCTTTGCTAGTCGCTGATCCAGAATTAATTCCTGTAGTATCAGATTTGGCAACACGATCATAAACAGCATTCGATTGTTCTAAAATTGAAATAAAAAACAATGACTGGATTATTTGGGTAGGATATATGGTAACACTTTGACTAAAAATTTTCGGGTTTTAAACCACATTTACGTGAGGCTTCAATTAGAGTATCGCATCCAAGCAGTTAGTTCATGTCTAATTAGGGATGCTATCACACTCGAACATGTTCAATGTGTGGAACTAAGTTTGTGATGGGTCTTTCCAAACTCACGATGAGCGCTTAAAACACCTAAATCTCTTTCTCGTATACTTGAACTTGAGGTGACCTTATAGTAACATTCCCTATCGTAAATAATAATGTATAGAAGGCATGGTTGAAAAACGGTTACTTTGAAACAACTGTCTCGATCATATATCCTCCTGTCGAACTCCAGCTTAGCGTCATGATCTAGTAGTGTGTAGAACTGCATTCACAGATAATTCCTAACCGAGCATTATAATACGTGTTTTTAAAGAACTATTTATAAAATATCCAATTTCCTGGTACAGTAATTAGTAATAACAAACTGATATTGTCCCGTCATATCCAGGGTAAGGGGGGGGGACCTAACTTGTTACATATACAGAAATAATATAAAAACGTTCACAAAGGTATCCTATGCGCCAAAATACTAAATAGACTGATCCTTTTGAAACTATACATTACTATAATGTAAACTCACTTCCTGTTCCATATGCAGCTGTCCCTCCACCTGTAGTGACTAGACGACCATTAGTATCACGAACAATTCTGCGTACTTTAAGAGCTGTAGGGACAAAACGTGTTGCGTCACCTATTAAATTTTTCAGTTGAGGTTTTGCTTCTATAGTAGTTCCACTTGGATTTGGTTGATTTGTTGGAATGCTCGCTACAGCTGGACCACTTACAAGTTCCGCATTATCAAGTGGATCACGAAGGTGCAAACTGGGTGGAGCTGATAATATAGCCCCAGTGGCTGAATGAAAACAGGGTTGAGATTAGGTTAAGAAACTAATAAAGAAGAAACGCTTTTTATTTAAATGAACACGAGGTTTTATAATTTTACATCAATAATTAGAAGTGTATGATGGCTTAATCTAATAAACCGGACTGATGTAAAGTAAAAAAACTACGTTGAAGTGGTGTGTCGCACAAAGTTGCATTTACTAGAAACAGTTCCTCAGAATTCCCAGGTTTTTGGTGTTGTTGGAAGGACTTGCCCTATAAAAGCTTATAACTAAAATATGCGCATTGGTAGTAAGAATGTTTTTACACCCGTCCTTGATAAATACGTACATCTAGAAAAAGGTGTATTAGACTAACGATATACAACTAAAGTAGATCCAAAGTATATTTAAAACAAAAAGCCCTCATAACCAAATTTTATGCGACTCATTTTTAATACTGATTAAATACACAATGACTGGCCTTAGTTAATGAACCTGGAACGAGAGTGTCAGATACAATTAATGCAATGTTTTGAAAATGACTTACGGCGTTGGTAAGTGAAACGACTTAGAGTAGGCTGAGGTGCTCCCGGAAATCCTGGACGAATAAGGCCAGTAAAGGATGGTAAAGCCATGGGCGGCGGTAAAGGGATTTGAGAGAGTGGAGGAGTAATAGCTGCAAATTAAAGTAAGAAACAGAGTCACATGATTTAATTGCTAAGAGTTAACGGAAGCTCTGAAACGCTTCGCAACTATAATGTTTCCTCAACTGGTTTAAAGCAGTTGACTTACTAGAAATGGTGAATGGAAAATATATCAGAAGAATACGGACAAACACCATATAGTGATTAGACCAATATTTTCTAGTAAGTTTTAGAAAGACGGCGTTTTGAAATTCCTTACTCTGAATAATACCTAGATTTTGACTAGAGCATCCCCACCGGTAGAAAGATGTATAGGTTAGTAACAAAATTTGGAGGAGAATGACCATATATCTAATTTTTGGACGGCGTGGACCTGTTGCCTGGAGAAGGACTTCTCGACCTTGAATATGTGGATGATATTGTCTTATTGTGCGATAATACCCTTTGTGTTCAAATAAATAATAAATAGTTATACAAATATTTAGGTGGGTGAGGTTAAAAGTATTTAGACAGTGATTTCTTTCAGTTACGTGGACTCATTCTGCAATGCCATGCAAAGGCATAGATAGTCAAAAAACATGAAGTCAATACACAAACATAGGGCACAGTCAGTACGCAACGCCATATGCATGAAGTTAAGTGGGATACGACTTTGGTGAAATTCAATAAATGTTGAGTCGAATGTGAATCAATATGATGTGAAGCCACATGTCACGTGCTTTAACAACTCTCGCTGCCTATATTTATTGTTTAATATTCCGAAAATGCCGACTTCGCAACACATGACAAAAATCCAGAAGTAATCACTGTTTGGTCTAATGAGGAGATTCAAACATTGTATCTGGTGCCCCTTTGTACCATTTTGTGCTCGAATAAATAAATATAAATTCAGTAAAAAGAGGTTGAGAGCTTGACTTACTTGTAAAACCGCCGGTGAATTTTTCGCCGAGATGCAGAGATGAATCACCAATTTGTTCTTCTTGCTCCGGCTATAAAGAAACGTTATTGCATATATATACCACTTTACATACCATAGGGTCTGCATCAGCAAACCGGATTTTGCGTTGCTTTGTCGTATTATCAGCAAAATTATCTTCTTCTTCACTATCTGACAATTCAGGAGGTGTTCCTGGAGGTGGTCCAGGCGGCTTACGACCTGCAGGAAGTATACTAGGTGGAAGCCCTGGAGCTCTGTCGGTATGAAAGCAAGACAAATAAAAACTAAGTTTCTTGTTTTGGAATTTAATGCAGTGGTAGTAATACGAGATCACAAAATTATTAGTTGAGTTTACTCCCTAAGATGTCATCAAACTTAGCTAAACAAAAACCACAATCGCGAATAGTATGAAGCTGTGCTATATTCTCAACCAATGCTCGTTTACGTCAAATCACTTGTGACCTCATTTTTGCTGATGCAGTGTGGAGGCGACAACGGACAGCTTACCGTTACATTTTATTTTATCGATTGTAACTGTTGATTGAGAACAGTATAAATATTTGCCTAATTTTTCTATTACCATTGGTGCTTTTGTAATCTCTATTATTCTGGGATTTGGTCGGACGATTTCATGTTACTTGATAAGCAATTTTCTATCAATTTTACTTTCGTAACAACTAATTTTCACGTACGTATATTTATGTTGACCCTAAATCCAATTCATAACCTCAAACATCGACTGTAAATCCTAATTCCTCACACTGGTTCATAACCCTCCTCCAGTCTTAGTTGTTAGGTGGACACTCTCAAGGTCACCTTGGTATCACTCAAAGATTGTCCATAAATTATAGTCCCACCAACAAAGCTGTTATTTGTATATTTGTAGTTTTGAGTCCACCAGATACAACTATACGGAAGCATGAACCAGTGCATAGACAGACCAACATGAATCGTGCAATTACAGAGACAGCAATAATGAGCCAACCCTTAGTTTATAGATGGAAAAGATTATTGTGTATCGTGAGTGAAATTGATATTGACAAATATTTTAACTAACCCTAATGACTTCTTCAGAATACCTTTAGCGTAACCTCCAGGAGGCAACGGTATGTCGGACGTTATAAGACCCATCTGTGATTGCGGCAGTTTTGGGAGCGGAATTTCACTAGCTTTCACTCTTTCAGCTAACTTTACTTGTTCTGTGGACATAAAGTAAGAATAAATGCTTACCGTAATAAAGCATCATCTCATGCCGTCTTTTGTCGTAGTCTTGACGAGCCGCTTGAAGCCGGTTGGCATATTCTGCATCTTCTTTCCTCTGAATATAATTTTAACAACAATGTGAACCCATTTACGTATAACATAACAAGACGGTCGAATGTTTCCAACAGCTTTCGGCGTTTTTCCTGAATGACCCTTTCACTAAGTTGAGCTTGAACACTGGGATCATACTCTGAAGTTAAATTATTCTAACCCTAATACAATTTACCTTGTTTATCATAGAGAGTCGTTTCTTCTAATAATTGTAGAGGGTCTTTGGATTTAAGCACTGCATGACGCACAGCCATACGTTGTTTTTTGTTTTTCTTCAATTCCCGTTTTCTTGCTTCTTTTCTTGCTTGATCTGTTGGATTCATAAACTTCCCACTTTTTGTAGTATTCACCGAACGACGACCCATTTTCCACAATTTGCAGATTTTTCGGAAAGACCGCCGATGGTAGTTGGTGACCTATAAACTTTCAAGTCCAAAATGTGTGTGGTGAAAAAGTACATTTTTGTTTTTAAACTTGAAGCGATATATGAAATAAGCAGTCTGGAACAAAGCTTAGCAAATATATATATTCATAAAAGATGAAAAACATTGGTAAATTATAGAGATACTGTCCTTGTTGCTTAAGAATATGTCAAGTCTCATCTTGGATGACTCCTGAGAATTCAAATAGTTCAAATTGTTGTGGACGGAATGAAAGGAGGTTTTGTTTAACTGGCCTTTGTTTCCAGCAGCAGTGGATCACCAATGCCTCCAGGCAGGAACTTAGGTATATTAACAATAAAAGAGGATAGAGAAATTGGTAAATCAAAGTAAGATACTAGCTTTACTCCTTAAGAATATATCAAGTTTTCTCTTAAAGGACTCCTGGAAAGTCGATTGAACTATCTTAGACGGGAGCAGATTCTAGCCATTGACCACTCTTAGGGATTGAAAATTGTGTCTACAGTCCGTTCTCTTGAGCCGTGTCTCCAGTTTCTGGGTATTACCCCTTAGGGATGTATTGGAGCTTAACTTAAGTAGGTGTTTGAGGGGATGTCCAGAAGTGTTAAGGATGCTGTACGCCATTAGAACGTCGCCTCTAAGACGTCTATGTTCTAACGAGTAAAGGTTTAATGATTGGAGACGCTCTTCATAGGGCTTGAATTTGTGTCCTCAGACTCATTTTATGACTTGCCGTTAGATACGTTTCAGAGTGTCCTATCCTTTTGATGTGAGGGAGGAAATACTATTTTTCCGTACTCTGGATGTGGAGGAATGAAACTGTTGAAGATTAGGTGAAAAATTCTCCCGTCAAATTAGCCATTTTCTTGGACTAGCTCAATCGGCAGCAAAATCCACCGTTTTGTGTTGCGCCCCCCAGTTTCTGTGTGCTTTCCGTGAGCTTTTGTTGAGGGTGAGCTGAAATAGGTATTTGAGGGGATGCCCTGAAGTGTTTGGGATACCGTATGTCATTAGAAGGTCACCTCTAAGACTCCTGTACTATAAAGGGTAAAGTTTTGGTGATTTCAGGTGCGATTTTATCATAAAACTCCACACGAGTCACTAGACCTCAATGTCATCTGTTAGGAATAAAATCGATGACCTTTTTTATTTAACAGACCACTTACGCAGAGCAGGAGAAGTTTGTGTGAATTCTCCTTTTCGGGAAGCTAAATCTCCAGGGATTCCCTCCTAATGTCTAGCGTGCAATATCTATTTGTCAAGCCCGTATTAACCAAATGATTTCTCTGCTCTCATCTCCAAATGTTTCGGTACGGTTCTAGGTGTTTTGTAGAGTCTAATGAAGGATAATCCAGTCCCTCAGCCCCAATAAGTCTAGTCAGTGTAGCAGTTTTTTATGGATTTGAAGTTTTTGAAGTTTGAGTGAGTAAGTTTGCCTCAGGGAAGCAGGGTTTCTGGACACCAGGTAGCCATCAGACTACCTGGTAAGACGTTGGTTGGTTGTAATGTGAAAATAATGAAGTGGTCGTTTGAGTGATAAAAGAAGACAATTGTCTCAAGAATAAATGAATATTTTACTTACTTGCTGCTATACTGTGTGAGTTCCCTCTGGGAGCATGGTGGGGATGTTCTGGTAATGTACATTTGTCTGCGTGGCCTGGTATACTTAATATGTTCTATACTATTATAACTTCTTATTCTTCCGTGGCTGAATAAAAATAAACTTAGGTGTTGGAGTCTATTTTCGTACGATTTGTGTCTTAGACCTACCGCCCGCTTAGTTGCTCGTCCCTGTGCTTGGTCTATAGACTTGTCTTTTTAGCAGGAGGGGTGCCTTGCGAACTTCAAGGTGAAGCCGTGTGTAGGTTTAACAGTGCTAGGAACAAGTCTGGGATGGTTCAGCTACGTTATCTTCGCATAAGGTGGAGACTTGGGATTGTCTTATGTACATCCCTTATGTGATTTGCACTAGTGTTTAAACTTTCCGTTGTCAGAAGTCCGAACTCATGCACTGAGGAGACAGTCGGTAGCAGATTTTCGCGGGAGGTATAGTGTTTATAACGTGACATTTCGACAGGTTACGTTTTACTACATTATCTGATATCCATCCCTCTATCGTTGTAAGGTCCTTCTGAAGCTCAAGTGATTCACTTTCGTCCTCCAGATCTTTGCGTCACCTTCGTAGATCAGTGCCGCCAAGCTAATTTTATTTTACAGGTTTTAGTTAAGATCATGAACAGGAGCGAACCTAAGATTGTTCATCGTGAAACTCCTGATGTCGAGAGACTCTGATCAGCGTGGACTCCATCTTCATACAAAACATCTCATTCTTTAGGTAGCTGCTGCGCCGGAATAAAAGTCGGTCAGTGGAACCCATCGTTCGAGCCTTCGATATGAGATGTACATGAGGTACTGCATCAAAGGCTTTTCGAAGTCGAGGAATATTGCATGAACCAATGTCTTTTGGTTCTAGCAGTTTGTCCAGCAATCGCATGGGAAGCATATGACCTACTTTTTCTGAACCCATGTTGGATTTCATGAATTTTGTTTTTATTCATGTATTCCCTTATTTTTTCACCGAACGATCCCTTCATTATCTTCAAAAGTAATGCGACTGGTCTGTAACAGGCTGTGTCTTTTTGTATCCTCCTTCGAATATTGGAGTGTGAGCCTATTCTGTTTTCTTGGGAGTTGATGTGAATCCATTGAGTGCCTGAACGGGTCATACTGGTGTGCTGATGTTTCGCGCGCACTGTATCAGGACTACAGGATGAATTCTGTCACGTCCTAGCGACTTTCCTGGGAGCAGGGATTTCATTATCCTTATTAATAACCTGTGAGTTAGTTGAATTTCTCCCGGACACTCAAATGGGACTAGAGTTGTAAGGTGCTTCAAGTTCGCGGGCCCTTAGTTTTACTGTGTGTGGAGTTGACATTGAAGATGTCTATCATCTGTAAGTTAGTAGGGTCTTTGCCATCTAACCATACGATAATACAGATCCCATGGCTTGTGAGTTTTCTCCTGGTTATGAATATGTGGGGATATTTAGAATCAGCTTGCATTGCAACTGCTATGATAGCTTGAAAACATCTATCACACCGAACTTTGGTGCTGCATCTGTTTTTCAATCCCACAGGGAGACTTTCTTTCTGTTTCAGGTTCTCTGTTTGGCCTGTAGCAAGCGTTTTGTGCCTCTCTTAATCCAAGATTTTTAATTTTCAGGTTTGTTGTCTGAGAGACGTTGAGATTCTGAATGATGACCGTGACTACGTCACATTGGTCATCCACTGTTATCCCAACCACTCTCGTCACCAATGTGCGTACTGAAATTGCTTCCTTATCGTCGTGTGGTCTGTTCTAGTGCGGCTCAAATAAGGAGTGTTCTGCTCCGTTCGGAGTCTCGTGTTGGAAATGACTGTACCGTGGTCGCTACTTCTTAATGATGCGTGGACGTCGAAATCCTCAACTGGCAGCTGACAACTTGTCAGTAAATGATTTCTGTTTGGGGGTTTTCCGTCTGTCCTGAACTTCTGATGAATATGGCAAGCCGCTTATGCAACCACCTCGTGAGGATTGTCACCTGTTTGTTGAGATATAGGGATGGATTGTTGAAGTCTCCAGCTTGCAGCACTTGTCAAACTGCAGGTGTACTGGCCGTATATCGCCTGTATTATCACATCTTTTCGAGTGTTAGAATATGTGGAGGCCGGTATGTTCCTCCAGTCAGGTACTTTGTTCCATTAACATTGAGCAACACTGGCATAGTTCTGCCACCTTAGTTAATTCGAAATCGTATGTTGTTACTTCTATGAGATAATCGTTAACGTTTATAGCCACCTTCTATTTTATGCACCCTAATTTACCGGAAATGTCATGCTCTGCATGCCCACTTCTGAATATGTGATGTCGGTCGATAGCCACAATCTAGCTAGAACGATGATCTTCAAATCTAATTGAAAGCATGTTTCGGACTTTTCCTGGTTTGCTCCTTAGTCCTCTTACAGTGCTTTATAGGCATATGATGGTTCTTCTCATTACCTAGTGATCATATATAACAGCATCTGTCTTCTAGTTCTAAGGCAGCTCATTGTTTAATGTGTACTTCCTAATCCCGTACGAACAGCTTTTTGTGTCGCTTCAGAGTTGCGCCTCAGTTACGTCTTCTCGGTTTTTGAAGTTCACAGACATCAAAGGCGGAGACCAAATGGTCACGGGGTTAAACGGACGAAGTATCTTGGGCACGCTACTTATAGTAGCTGTGTAAATGCTTATTTTACGGAATAACCAACGCCACTGTTGCATATTCTGTTCGTGAGCTTCATCCCGATTACCGACTAATAATACAGGCACTCCGTGAGCCACAATGCGATTGATTCTCCGGTGTCTGATGACCTTTTGGAGGCCTGCACTACCACCCACCATTTGTCGTGTCTATATCACACTTGGGAGAATCGTTTAACCGATGGTCTCTGGGATATCGGTAAAATTTTCCCTAAATATAAAGTTACCCATTATGAAGAGAGTGTATTTTTGGTTACGTTCTGGCACTTATACTGGAGGCACGGCTTGGCTGAACTGGTGCCTTTTTCCATCGTTGTATAGTGTTTGACTCAATGTTCTTTATCAAAAGCTGCCCTGCTTTCTAACAAACTACTCCTCGGCATTGGGACACGAGATAAAATCAGAGTTCCGTTTGAAGTTTTTGGTACCTACTTTTGACCTTTTTGGAGCCTAGCTATTGACATTTTTTTTCTGAACGTCCATCCACTGTTCCTTACTTTCAACAAATAGTGGGGTATCAGCAACACTTGGTGATTTCGCCGATATGTAAGCTAGGATTGTGATTCCCATAGTCAAGTGTTTGTCTGGGCCTATTTTTGGAGATTCAGATATACTTTTGTGGACTGGTACGGTAGCTTCTGACTAGGTCCTAATTCTGTAAAAAGGCTTCAAGTTTGTCTATAGCCGTTTTTTCTTTCATTTTTACAACCTCTAGTAAAATACTAGGTTCTAACCGAAAATCCGTATTGTCCAGTTAAGAGGAGATTTACTAGCGTTTGAGGTAGTAGTACTGTGGTGCGTGCCACTTATATTGACATAAGTAGTATATAACGCGTATCAGGAATGTAATGTCTGGCAGCAGAAGACCGTGAAGATCAAGAAAGGAAGAAAGGGAACAGAAAGCGACTAGTATGGAAATGCAATAACAATGAAGTTTGAGACAATTATTGAACATTTTGAAAATTAAGTATTATAGTATGATTTTTCTATTTTAGCAAGTAACTCTGCAATTTCGTGCCAAATATAATTCGGTTGTCCTCACTTGTATTCTCCTTTACTACAGTACCATCTAAAGGAGTCTTCATGACATGTGTTCAATAGTTTTCTTTCTTTCTACCTCCTCTCAACAGATTGTTGGTATGTTCAATTGATAAACACCCCTACCTTGTATAACTTCAGGATATGGATCGACCGATTATCACGTATCGCTTATGATCATTCTGAAGACATTTTGACTTTCACTTGTGTTCTAAAAAGATTTGCAATTATGTTTTGTTATGCTGGCCTATGTTACTTCTAGTTATTAACTGATGCACTGTCCTTTTACCAAGAAGCGATTTGATGTTCTCATACTATCACCTTCCTCTTCTTCTCTTTCTTCTTCTACTTCTTATTCTTTAAAAAGAAGCGATTCGTTGTCTATGCTGACAGGTGCTTTGAAATTTCACGAAGTTATAAGGCAATCTAGGATCTAAACGCTTCAAACAATATACAAGCAATGAGAATACTTAATAAAAGGGCAAAAATGTGCTGAAAATCGCAATAAATTCTGAATAAAGCAGGAAGAGAAATTAATTAAACCTGAAATAAGATCAAAGTAATTGGAATTAAATCTCATCAACCGAGAGGCTTCTATGGATTCTAAAAACCATAGTTAACACAGCAAAGTTGAGAGTCACTTGCCCCTTTTTTAAACGCTCGGTAGTCTGCAATTGATCTGATAACTCAAAATAATCCCATTATGAACGGGTCAAACCTAACAGTATAAGTTTAAAACGCTGTGAGTAGTGTAACCTAAATCGAGAACATTCTCCAAGTTACCGACATTAGTGATCTTTGTCGATGTAGGAGGTTCATTGTTAATGAAAGGGAAAAGTGTAAACCCATATCTTACATCAAATTCACACTCCACAGTTGATATTTAAACTGCATTGTGCCTGTTACGTTAAAGGTTTTGCTCTTTCCCGCTATTGAAGTACGGTATATCGATCTATTTGCAATATACGAACCCAAATTAACAATAGAACCAAACTCCAATTTAGGTACCAAAGTTTATTCGCAATTTATAAATAGTAGACCTAGATGTCGTTCTTCGAATTTGTCGGTTCCCGGAGCAAAAATTCTCAAATAACAAAACAAAGACAAAAGAAACCAAAAATGTCCGAAAATAATGATATAAACAAACAAGTTCAGAAGTTGAGTAGAACAAATACATCCAAAAAACACAGTAAGCTTAATAATATACAATGTAAAGGTTGTAATCAGCCAAATGTCTTTAGTTCTCCCGTAACTGTGCAGTTTCGGCAACCACGTGAATTGAATTCCAAGATGATAGGCTAGAATGACACCCAGTTGGCAACAGGACATATTAACATTATCAAACTAAGAAAGTACGCTATCGGATGTGCCCACCCTTTGTATGCAACTGGTCGATGTGCGTTGGATGTCCTTAACGCTGACCATGATCGGTAGACTGTTCGACATCAGGTGATTTGCCTGGTAGATGATTCGGCTAAGGCGCAGTGAAATTTTGCTGGCCCTAAAACTTAGAGGTTTTAAAATGTCATAGGTATTGGAAGTTCGATAACGCCTTGACCAGTAACATCGTACATAATCGAAATATGCCAGTTCAATCAAATCAGAGGTCGGAAATAGAGGTTCGTAGATATTTCTGAAGGATGCGTGGCTGGGCGCCTTCTGCTAGAAAACTAATGCGGTCAGCATCAATGTCTAAGATTTACAGAACAATTTATTTCGTAAATTTATTCACAGGTTCAAATATCTTTCAGACTATTCTACAGTGATCTGAATTTAACAGTATTATTGATATAATTTCCCGTAATATTTAACATTTGAGGCATACGGACGAATGTTTATAGAATAATTCAACGTTTTTCACAATTCATTCATTTCTACTCGGTCAACTCAGATTCGTGTAGCTTCAGAGTTAGATGTCTGAATAGACTGAAGGCAACCGAATAAAAATGTTAATAAATGAATATTTTAAAAATAATATCACGAAGGAAAACAGGAAGCATACTCACAATGATTGTCAGGAACTTTATACAAAGGACCAGACAGAAATGGTATAATTCTACAGACCGCTCAAATAAGTTTTATAAAAGCTGACTAACTGCAAGAATACAAGTATCTCATTTAGTGTACAGAAATGTGCCCACAGCCACTAACTGACCACATTTATCCAAAGTATCCATTTACGATAAAATGGTCATAAACAGTTTCAAATATACAAAAAGTCGATCATTTTAGGAGTTCTCTGCTACTGTTAACTCGATGTCTGTGGATGAAAATACGAAAATCACGTTGTAAAATGAAATTTTAATTGTGTGCAAAGAACACTGAAGCATTTATTATGATTTAACTTGAAGGAACTTTCGTCAGTTGTTTTGAGAAGTTTTGTTTAGTCATGCTAATAACTAATTACTATATTTTTGTTGCTAAGCTGGTTTTATGATATTTTTCTAGGTCACGATGTCAGTATTTTTGAGTGAGAAATTAGGTATTTTCTCTGGAAAAATTACTGATATTAAATGGCATCCTCGCACGTTTATTTTAGCGGTCGCATCACATATTGGAAAAGAGTCAGGTGAAGTTACAATTTCGGCCCTGAAAGTAAATTTCTACAAACATTACTAATTATTCAGGTCCCAAACTGTAAAGATGCAACCATTACAAGGCCTTGTATTCCTACGTGTATTTCTTGGCATCCTAATGAGCCAGTATTATTGGTTGGATGGAATAATGGCTGTACGACTGTTTGTTACTATTCTGAGCATAACGCTCTCGATATGGATTATAAACTAGAAGGGTCTGTGATGTCACTAGTTTGGACTTTTGATGGGTACTCTGTGTTTGCAACAGACAATAAAGGATCTGTTTATGTTTTCCGGTGGCATAAAAATGTAGACATTGGTGCAAAGCCTATATCCATTCTGAAAGTCAACACAAATATATCATGTGCTCTTATGCTCAGTACCCGAAATCCCGATGAATTAAGTTCATATATAACGCTTGCACCGTTGTATTCAAGTTCTAGGTAATAAAAGTGGTATATACTTAATAGAATTTTCCAGTGAGGAAAATAAATTTGCTGAATCCGCCGTCACCGAAACTCCATGTAAATCAAGTAACATGATGAAGTTTTCGTGTCTAGGCTTCTATCTCTTTGGATGCTACGATGGTAATTAATAATTTTACGTAAACTCGCAAAGGTCTGCAGGACGTATAATGTACATTAAGTACGATAAATCGAAAGAGAATGAGATTGCAGTGAGTCAAGCCAATAACTTAGCATGCTGTGAAGGATGTATTTTAAATATGGTTTCTCACAAAGGCACAAATATTTTATTGGCCCTCACTGAGGGAGTTCTTCTATATCACTATCATATCAAGCTAAACTCTGAAATATCAATCAAGGAAGTAACAAAAGTAAATAAAGACCATTACTTGGGCACTATTATCTATAATCTAAGAACTTCTTTAAAAGTCTAGTGTGGTTTTAGAAATACTAACACATCATGCTGTTTTATTGTTCGCTCACTATTATAAAAAATATATTCACCCTTAAAACTCAGGAATTTCTAAAGTCTTGGATCGATCCGAGTAGCGAATATGCTGGTATATACAAGAAAACTGAGAACTTTAGATTGTTAAATGATCAACTGAAAATGATCCACGATAAGCGTGCTTTTTGTTCTTCGAACCGTTAAAATCTTAATATTTTGTGATAGTTCATATGCATGCAAGTTCAGAAAACATCTCAGATTGTATAGTTTTTAAATGAGGTTCCCGATTATAGCTGTGTTCAAAATTTATTAAGTTCAAATTAATCGAAATCTTACATTTTACTCAGGTTCCGTTGGATCTGGAGTAATACGATTTTTATTGTAATAATATATTAGGCTATTTTTACCAGCATATATGTCACAGGTTTAAATCATATCAAACACAATAGTTATTAAAAATTACTGCCAGACGAATAAAGTATGAGTTTACGTATGAGGAAAAATTCATTTTATCGGAAAAATGTTCATCATCTTGGTCTTACCATGACCAAATGGTATTTTAAGAGAGATATAACAACTGACTAGATTTCATATAGTTACAGTTCTCGAATTGTTATTAGTTAGTTATTAGAGAAATTGTTAGTTAGATGTAAATTTTCTACTTGAAACTCGTGTTTTGTATATTTTGTCCGATTAGCGACCATATGAGATATTAGCTTAGATAGCAACTTCAAGGTCATCCATCACCTAATTCAACCAAACTGGTCATAAAACCATCGATTTATTCTAGTATAAAAAAACTTTTGAAGCTATTCGAAACACTATAAACCAAGGACACAGAATTTTACACGATACAAATGATAGATAAGTGGTATAGAACATTACAAAAGCAGGCTATCGTTAAGCTATCACTATAAACCATCAATTTGTAGGAAAATTATTGGGTTAAATATGGATGAATATGTAACGGTAGCATCTATGACAGTAAGACTCAAGGCGTTTGCTTTTAAACACGGTCTATAGATGCAGTTAATTACTTTGCATGGATTTTGCTTGATTTTTCATTATAATATTTTGCATAGAGAGTAGTTGCTTAATTTATTTAGCAAAAAATGGGCAAGATGTTGTAATTTCACAGTGGTTATAATACGATTGTGATTTAAAGTAGTTGATAATTTGCTTCACGCAAATTGAAATATTTCTTGAGGTATTTTATTATTTCCGCAAAATCGGTTACTTGCGGAGAATTGCCATATTTAGGCTAATGCAATACAAAGAAATAAATAACAAAACGTTATGCTCTAAGTAAAACGGGATGAAAATGAATTGAAAGCACTTATTCTAACTTACTTATCGGTCAGTTTTACCCGCATTTTACGAAGTATTTTGCTGCTGTTTTTTGGTAATAAAGAAAAAACATACTTGTACATCTTTTAGATGAAACTGGCTTTAGCAATGTGCAATCAACCGTCCGTTACATGTGCTGGAGAAACTACGCTTGCTATGGCACTTGGAGAAACAAATGTTAGACTATGGGATGTCGAAAGAGCCGATAACTATACCTTAGCTCCCTGCATGCTTATTTCCAAAAGCAGTCCAAGTGAACTGAAGGTGATCAGTGTTTCTTACTCGGAAACATATTGTAAGTTGCAAACTTTACTTTTGTGACATATGTCTATTCTAAAAACGTAGCGTATGGTATCAAAATAGATTTGTACAGATTATTATGTGTATATACGATTTTTGTGTTTCGTTGTTAAAGTAAAATTTCGATTTTAAATCTAAATAGCTGATTTTTAGTTAGATAAAGTAGCAGTAGTACGATTAATGCTAACATTAAATCAACTGAAATTGTATCATAAACAAAAACAGTGGTAGCGTAAGAAAAAGTTATACAACAATGCTAATTTGCATGGGAAACATTTCATGAAGGTTTTGTTTTGTAAATCAAAGTATGGCTCTTAAAGCGTCGTATCAGCATTAGACGGTTCTCTTTTATCTGTAACACAAGGTTATTGTTTCTAAGAATGGAATTCACCTTTTCCTCTCAGATTGTAGTTTTTACTACCGTTGATGGTGTTACTATTTTTATTGCCTTATCACTTGTCGTTATAACTTTATCCCGTTGTGCTGATATATTGCGACAACGTAGGGCTATACGTGTATATGCCAGATCTTAGGTCCCTTATGATTTATCGACTGATTAAGAGCGGAAGGCTGGTTTGCCGTAATTTTATAATGAATGACGGAAAGACTATTGATTTATTTTATTACAAAGTGAATCAGGGATAAAGAAACTGTTTACAAATATTATATTACTTTCGCCCATTATTTCAGCAGGTAAAGTCTCATATGTTATTAGAAAAATTGTTTGCAAAACTAATGTAGTGATTATAGGCAAAGATGGATGGTGGTTGGCAGTGAAATTGAGGACGCACGTTTCGTCTTATTTGGGATTTGTCAGCTAGATATACCTACATCTCAGGGATGATGCTCACTCAAGAATTCGAACCACATACCGTTCTCTTAGAACGCCATTACGCTATCCATTAAGCTACTGAATCCTGGATTCCACTACTAGCCACTATCCATCGTTGCTCAAAATGCTTGTGGCTCAAGGCAATAACCAGGCAATCCTCGCGGGATGCACATATGCCAATAAGAGCCTGATCAATTGCAGTCCCAAACATTATTGGGAAGATTCAAGCAAACAATGAGAAAATGAACTCCTGGATTAACTATACATATTGAAGTAATACTGCAATTGTTTTAAATCAGCTCATATGTATTAGGATTCTAGTTTATGTAGTTTATGTACAATATTATGTCTAAAATCGAAACTGTTTTTCTGGAATTTACGAAAGGTATTCTGGCAGCAAGTTTTAACAATGGAATGGTGGGATTTTGGCAATACTGTACAGAAATGGAATCATCCAAATATTTGTCTAACGTTCAGAGGCCAAATTTGACGTCAAATCAAAATCCCTGTGATTACATAGGTAGTTATGAACTTTTTAGTTCCACAAACACTTTGGCAGAAAAAACACCGGAGACCAGTTGGCATCCACAACCAAGTACCTTTTGGTTAAACAAAGAAGATGAATTGTTTTCAATTTCAGAGGATTTGAAATACCATTCGCATTTACTAGCCTGGGATTGTCAGCAGGAAAAGTTAGCAATTACGCTCATACCACATCAGTCAAAAGAAAAGCCATATGAAAGCCAAGGTAATTTTTAACTGTATAGACGGACACTCCTAATGTGTTACTAGTTTTATTTAAATAGGAGCTATTTTTCTTTGTTATTTCTGTCTATCAAGTTTTTAATGTTATCATGTTTCTGACCACGCTTAGATAATATTATATACCTTCAGTACAGCTTACCAACTGAACTTATCTTTTAAAGGTAGCAAACTGCAAAAACAGTGATTCGTCAGTGTTTTGGGATAGTCACTTATCTTTACAAAGTTCGGAGTAATTATATCGCTAACTCTTTGGCAAACTTATTCAAACTTAAGCCTACGGTAACTAAGATCATATTTTACTGAATAGTTGATTTAAATCGATAGTACTCCAAAGTCACCATAGCACACATGCCATAAAGTCCCCAGGTTTTTTCAGTCACATAAGTACATTGAACATATCATTTATTTGATAACTGGACTGGTGGTGCTTGGTAAAATATCAAACTCACTATCAAACTTTCAGGTACCCAAACCAAGTCTTCTGTGTATATACTTCAACGGCAATCACCACAAACGCATTTCTATGGATACGGATGTGCTGTTGTACAAACTGGTTCAAGATCATTAGCAGTACTTACCACAATATATAATAAACGTGTAAACAAAACAAATACAAGCGCTTTAAAGAATATATCGATAATAAACAATACTACTGAGAATATAAAAGGGAAAATGAATATGATTGAAGATGAAAATTACAAGAATTGCCGCGGATCTTTCATAACCAAACCAAAACAACTTGAGATTTGTAAAGATATAAATCAGAATTTTACTGGCTTCATTAGTCAAGGCAATTGTTCGCTTTGTGAGTACGAGGCGCAGGTTGAAGACCAAATTAAGGCTGTATATTGCACACAAGTATGTTTTAGATTATTCTGTACAAAATGTGTTAATTGTATTGCTTATAATCCATGTGCTTTTTTTTCTTCGTGCAAAACGGTCGGTAGTTGATTAGAGTTCAGTTTTGATTTGATGCTAGATGGTGGTAACAGCTACTGGTAACCAAGATTTGTCCTCTATATAGCTGGAATGTCTGCAATAATAATTCAAAGAATATTAACAAATATCTCATTGTTTATTACAACATGAAATGTTATTAGCCGGTTTAACGTCAATTTTCTGTCAAATATTTCAACTTGGCAATATTTTTGTTTACCGCTCTTAGGGTACTAAAAGTTATTCAGTAATAAAATCTTCGTGAAGTCCATCTCCCACCGTTTACTACGTCCAGTCAACCTTTTAATACCCATTATATGCCTTTCTAGATATAAAAAAAGAATGGATCATTTTGGATATTGATTTGATATGCTTTAGTTCAACTGTTGATCATGGTAATGAATTAAAAAATTCGACCTGACTTGTGTAAATTGAATGATATTTTTTGGGAAATTGTAAATTTCGAACCAGAATCTCTACTTAAGTCACCTGGATGATTCTATCTTGGTTGAACATGTAAATAAATTTATTATCCCTCCTAAAGCTATAGAAGTTCTGGAGAATCTATAACTTGGTTAGAGTTAAGGTAGTATTTTAAGTGAATGAAGCTCATTACGCTAAGAACTGGTATACAGTAAAATGACTTATATTTTCAATACGGGTAAAGCATGGGAACACATTGATTTTGTTGGACCTAGGTATGAGGCTACTTTTTTGACTCAATATTGTTTATACTCCATGGCACACTCAGGCGTACAATTTTGCCTAAGGTAGAAGCAAGTAAGATGAAAGCTATGTAAACCTGAGTCAACTCAAGGTATCAGTTCGTAAAGTCTTCAGCAGTTTAACTTACTTATTATGGTGTGGTGAGATCTAGGTAATTTTGTTGGGGACCTCGACTTAATCATAGTCAGACCTTGAGGACCTTGAATGGTAAGGCTCAAAATCGATCACCGACATTAACAGACGTATTCATTATCCTCCTGCATATGTTTATTTATGAACATTACGCCATTTATTTAGAACTCGGTTTCACTGGTTTTTTTAAATTGTATTCCTTATGACTTATTTATTTACACTATGTGTTTTGCTTATATACTTTTGATATCCAGATATGAATTGTGAAGTCTTGGTCTACGTTGTTTATGACATTACTATTTCTGTATTTGACGAATGTTTCGGTAGTTCACAATGTTGGTGATGAGTTATTTTAAGATGTTTCTAGCCTTCATCAGTATTTGAAACTTATTTTCACATCTTTGTTTTGAAGTTAACATCTTTTAAGATATTACGTGTTGTTTAATGCATCTATAGATTCATAAAATTCTTGTTTAATATTTTCATTTTGTATACTTGTGCCTTCATTTTTCGTTCACTGAAACTATATAAATTAAATCACTATATATGTATTTGGTTTTTTTTCGATCATAGGAACATGTTACATACTGGAATGGTCATCATATTTTTGTCTATAAACAGTCCACTAAAGGTTGCATAATCCACCTAAGTAAGTTCAACTTCTAACTTTGAAGTATAAAAATCATTTTACAGAAACAAATCAATGATTGACACCAATTGGTTGATTTGTAGCTCATTATACTATTCATGGATTTATTAAAGCTGCAATTAAATCTATTCTTTCTTCTCCTTATTTATTTTAAAGTTAAAATAGGTATGTTATATTGTTTGACCCGATTTTCAGCTTGGTTAATAAATTTGGATAGAGCTAAGAGAAAAAACGTAGCAGTTTATTTCATTTGATGGTTCCTTATCAGTTCCTTGTAATCAGGAGGGTTTTGTGAAGATTTTAGTAATTTCAATAGTTGTAATCTTGAGTCGATTAAAGCTAGACCACCACAGAAAACATGGAAGCACTGGGCGACCGTTTCATCCTATTGTGGGACTCCTGAGCAGTGCGCATCCACGATCCTGCCCACCGCGATATTAGAATCCAGGACCTATCAGTTTAAATTATTAAAAGTTGGTGTGCTAGTACTTTGTATCATAATATTGAAAATGTTTACATCAATAAAGAATGATAAAGCAGAAATCATTATGGAAGAATTATAGAAAATGATCGAATAGGTGAATAATTATATCTTAAATAATATAAAAATTCATGGAGAGGAGTTTCCTAAAAAGTATATGAAAATAGCTTAATGCCGAAAAAAATTGATAATCAAAATCACGTAATAACAACAATAAAAAGGATCACTGGTAAAAGTGAAATATTCGAAGGTCAGATAAAACTAGGGGCACTGTTGAAGAAATTCATTTTTGATTCAAAGCAAAACAACTTTCATGAAAATACCAATCACTAGACATGAGTTCTCAAGAGAAAATCATCTGAACATATTGTTAGAGAAATAGTGAAGTTAATAAAGGCCACCTGATAATGAAACGAGCATAGATACTTATTACTGGCTTTTTAAAAAGTTGTGTCACAGAGCTATTATAGACGTGAAGTAGGAATTCATAAAGTTATATGGTTTAATATTCACAACTACGGTACTACCGATAATGCAGATTAGTAAATGTAATTCTGGTCCTCTTTATAAAAATAATTGTCTATGCTTAACCCTGGGAAAGACATTTGGTTATCTCCGGCAACCATAAATGATATGATTTAAACTTTTTAAATGTAACGGTACACAGTATCAGCAAACAGCTCAGTATTTATTTATAACATCTCTACTTGAATGAACGATTTTTTAAGTGCGAATCTTTCGCACAGGAAATTTATATATAGATGATGAAAAGTTACTTAGCTTGTCAAAATATTCATATAGATGGTTTTACTTGTAGGTAAGTTTTATAAATGAAATGAATCAAATTCATAGTATATAAATTAACTTTAAATAAAATAACTACCGAGAACTCTCTGCTCGATTAGTAATAACCATGTGCTTATTAGTGACTAACCTGAAGAATATATAACGGCGTTTAGCTGTATCAAAAGGTAAATAAATATAATTGATGTCGTTAAGTGATGATTACAAACGTACCGAACATGTTATCATGGATCACTGGATTCCAAATAAATGATCTATTGGTATAGTAATTACTAGCTGAAAACAACTGTCCAAGACATCATCACAACAATAGGATGAAACGGCCGTCTAGTGCTTCTAGGTTTTCTATGGTGGTCTAGCTTCAATTGACTGATGATTTCAACTATTGAAATTACTAAAATCTCCACAAAATCTTTTCTAATAATTAATGATAATTTAATTTGTAATTGTAATTAATAGCTAATTTCCCATGTGAATATAAATTAATTGGAATGTATCAACATAATATATTTACAATTGAACCATATAAATTACAAGTTCGTAATTTGGAGGTAATTCTTTTTTTTGTAATTTCAAAATTAGTTCAATTAAAGAAAAACAACGTTTTTTTCTTTTTTTCGTAAACATCAAAATAACAATGATACATTGTTAAAGTTATTTCTGTTCTTTATATCTCGACTAAATCAAAGATAAATTCCGAATGGAAAGATCTTAAAGTTGTATTCCTAAATATTTATTTTTAACAGAAATATTATCATACCATTTTATATTTATTGTACTTCATGAAATGTGTTATAATAAACCTTTATTTATCATTTGTTCAATAGTGATTAGTATAGTGAGAAAATTTCCAGAGTTCTAGTGAAAAGCCATGAATAGTGGAGTGTAACTGTATTGGGTGTGAAAAAGGTACTCGCTGAAGACAATAGAAGATAATTACGTAATATTGTGGATTGACTGAAATTAAACTTGCTTAACATAGGGTCCTGTGTCATTGAAATGAAGTCAAAGAATTCTTGTACGAGAACGTAGGTCCTACGTTTGGTCCTCAGTTGTCGGATCTTGGGTGATCACTAGAATAAAACAGCTGCACAGTGCTTACAAGCTTCCAGTTGTTTTATATCATAGATCGCTTCACGGTTTCAATAACATTTATTTTCTTCGAAATACAGGTTACAATTGAGATTTCTAGTACAGATGATCTCGACGTGTAGTAGAAAGATATCTGTTGTAATGTTATCATAACTGAAATGTTTGAGTGTATTAAAAGCGTCGACAGTTTGGGATATATAAGTTTAGTATTTCTTACCTTCTCTACAAATCTAATGTTCAGAGAATGCTATATAATCAAATCACTGAGTCAGAGATAAATGTCTGTGCAGTATCCAAAGCTCCTTAGTTCACAATCTAAAAAAATTCCAGTTTGGTCTATTACTGAGAAAACGTTAAAAAGAATAGAACGCTTGTTCAGTAGGCTTGTCTAATGATGATCGTTTCAATCTTAAACACAATTGTTATTACTATTTCCGATTATGTCGTGACCATTGTCCACACTTACTTAGACATTTATTCAGTGGATATTGTATTGAACATTAAAGCTGTATTTAATTCAATATTTTAGGGTTGTGTTAAACAGTTAATCAATTTTACAGAAATAGAGGGCAGTATTACTATGACTGCTCAATGTGGCAATTATATGGCATGTCTTACTGATCAAAACAAAATACGAGTATTTGATCTAATCAGAAGGTAAATCGACTTTCAAATGTTTATTTCTTATGTAACACCCTGATAATCTGTCAATTTAATGTTCAATCACTATACTAGCTAATGTTTTATAGATTTTGTTTGATTTTAGGACCGTCTAATTATTGTAAACACTTGCAAGCTCAGTGTTGAAGATCGCATACTGATTAAAATTCTAACTTCCACTTGATAATGATTTTTTTTCCAAGTCTTAGACTATAATTCAGCCATCAAGGTTTGTATTTTCCCATTGTTGTTGTTAAGATCTACGATTGATTAGTCTCTTCTGGTAGATGAGCAACCTGAGTAGATTGCTTCTATATTATCTATTTTGAAATTAAAACCAAATGTTCAGTTTTAACAAACGAATATCAAAGATGGAAGTAAAGCTAATGGAATTTGATTGAACAAAATTAATAATCCGATAATTAATGAAGACTATATCAGGTTAGGGGTTGTGGAGATTGTTAAGTTTTTGATTGAGGTCATGAATTGATTGATCTTAGACCACCATTGAAAACCTGGAAGCACTTGACGGCCGTTTTGTTCTATTGTGGGACTCCTCAGCAATAGGACGAAACGGCCGTCAAATGCTTCCAGGTTTTCAATGGTGGTCTAACATCAATCGATTCATGATCTCAATCAAAAAATGAAGACTATAGTTGTTTTAATCAAAATTTAAGATAAACTAGATATAAATAGTGATGATATTATAAATATACCATAAAAACTTTGTTGTTAGAATGAGCAGTTTTCTCATTTTTAAAAATTTTAAATCCTCAGCGCAATGTTCAGAAAGAAGCAAATAGTTATACAGAAAGTATCTTTAAACAATAAATATATTCTTTCTAGATATATTTACATTTATTCTCATGTTTACTGTTATGGTAACCTATATCAATAATTTGGTACAAAATCAATATTTCAAGAGTGTATCTCTTTCCAGTGCTTTTATTCATCTCATTCTTCCTTCACATTATACTTTAGCAATGTGTATGATGATTGTTTGGAGAATGTTGCCACATAGTAAATTTGAAGAGTTAAATATAAACTACTATAGATAAGGTGTCTTTAGCCAAGAGAATGGAGCCACTAAAGTCATAAATGCCTTGAAAATAACCTCAAGAAGTTTCAAAGTGCTAGCTCAATAGTATTTAACGAAATCTTAATGGAGTGACATTGACTTGAATGACCTTTGAGTGAGGTTGAGTCTAGTAACATAAAAATCACAATTTAGACCAAAGATATCTTCTACTCACTTAAATGTTATAAATTAAGGAAGTCTTGAGGAATTATATGATGCTTCAAGACTATATAGTAAGTAAGAGTTTCAAGTATATCCGTGCTGGTAAACGTCATTATCCACCGACTACAGGTCATTATAAATATGTCCCTTTTTGTGTAAGTCCGGTAACTTACATGTACTCATGGGTAGTGTACATTATTACTCAGCTTTTTGCAGCAGAACTTCAGATGCAGATTTTTGCGTCTCCATAAGAAGGGTGTCGAACACTCAAGAACGTTCATCAGTAACTGGATCGGACATTAGTTCATAACGAAGATGGTCTTATGTGATTATTCAAATATAGGAAAACCACTGTACAATTTTCTCTAAATAATATTTGCTAATAAATTCTAGAATTAACGCAATCACATCAATCTCCTTAACAAAGATTCTTAAGATGTCTGTCACAAACTATGATATGTTTTCAAAGTTAATAACTCTTATTATTTCTTAACAAGAAACTCTTTCATCTTCACAAGACCCTTTTTCTATACTAATTCCTTAAAATGTTTCAAAAGTATTATTTGATTTTTTGAGTACATTTCACCCAAATTACAAGTTCTATGTAGTTGCTACTAATACAAGAAATCTGTTTCCATCCAATGCTTCCAGGTTTTCCATGGTGGTCTAGCTTCAATCAACATATGATTCCAACCATTGAAATTACCATCATATCCACAAAAACCCCTCTTCTGACATTCTGAATACCTTAATTTCTAGTTTTATACTTTTAAACCATCATTCATTCTTAGTAATTTTAATATTTATACTACTATTTAAGTATCAGAAGTAGTTTTATGAAGATTTTAGTAATTTCAATAGTTGAAATCATCAGTCAATTGAAGCTAGACAATCATGGAAAATTTGAAAGCACTAGACGGCCGTTTCGTCCTATTGTGGGACTTCTCAGCAGTATGCATCCACAATCCCGCCCCACCGCAAGATTCGAACGTAGGATCTATCAGTCTTGCACGCGAGCGCTTAACTATCAGATCATTGAGCTGGCATCTATATAATAGAATTCTTCAATCTGCCATATTCGATTAATTTCAATGAGTAAATTCTATTCTTCTTTAATATACAAATTATAATTAAGCTTATTTGTCCTATTTCTATTTGATATATTTTCTAAACTTAGAGAAATCAAATCAACAAATGTAACAAAATCTTTAACTAAATTAATTAAATGTAAATTATTAAATTATATATCACAGAACACTTCAACATTTACATTTACATCTTTACAAGAGACTATTACATTATTACATAATTCAGATAATTTGCTCATCAATGAATTAAATATTTCATGGATTTCAATTAATAATTCTGGTAATTCAATAGCATTTACAATAGAAATTTTATACAATGGAGGATTATGTAAATTATTATGGTTAAATTCTATGGATTCATTAACAAAAATGCAATTAGATAAAATGAATGACAAAGTTATGGAAAGAACCATAAATGGAATTATGAATAAAGAGAATTTATTAAAAAAATGGTTTCCAGATCCAAATATTTATATTTATCATATAGATGAAGATAAATTGAAATGTTTCAATTTTTTCGAAACTAACAAATTCTATTCATGATATACCTCGTACAAATAAGTATTCACTAAACATACTATATGTGTATTTGTAAAATATGAATGACATTTTTATTACATTTGAAAGGTATAAATGATATGCATCAATTACTTTGGAGCCATTATGTTTATTTGTAATTGGGGAGATAATTTATTTAATCATGAGAAACTTTGTTGTTATGCGACAATGAAACAACCTTTAAATTTGAATGAAACTGTGTTGTCACTAAGAAGTTGGTTATTTGTTTTGATATGAAACAGAAAGCACTGAGTTGTTACATTTGTTGGTTCATTTACAGGAATAATTTTTTTGATGGCTCTGATGAGGTAGAGAGCCGAAAATCTATGGAATATAGTTTCCTTGTGGGTGACCATGCTGTATCCTGACTACTAAAATTTGGTAGATATGATATACAATAAACAAGTTTTCCGATCGGTTTATACTTATGAGTGTCACTTGTAGTTATAGTGAGTGATGTGAATCAATATGACAGTGCTTCAGTTTATCTCAGAAACATAGAATATCGATGGTGAATAAATGAAATATATGAACAAAAAATATTCCTTTCAATAAATTCTTATCAGGTTCTGCATCTATATGTCAACTTATTAATCTAAGAAGTGGCCAGGTTTGAGGCAAACTACATCGTTTAGAATTATAGCATGTGAATTTATGATTGTCAAATAAAATATAATCGTTAATGTTGGGACAACTAATACAGAGTGTTGACTCGAATAATGTTGTACATTAAATGGAACTTTGAAACTGATGATCGGAATAAATATGGTTAACATGGCATGAGAGAGGTAATAATGTAATTACAAATCAGAAATCACGTGGTATGTTGAATAGTACGAATCGGGTACGAATTAGTAAATAGGGCTGGATGCTGAACAAATTTCTCAAAAACGTTTGGAAGTGTTTTATTAATAATGATAATAATATATGTGAATACGTTTAAGCTGTGAAAATACAAAGAGAAAGGTTGTATGAACATTAGTCGAATTACGTCACCATACATCAAAATCACTATTAACTAATTAGGCCTGAAATTAACCAAGGTAAAAAGAGCAGTTGAACATATATCTTTTGGACGCTAAGTCCCAACGTTTTGATCTGAATAGCTATTTTTTCAGCCATCCGAAGGATTCTTAGTTTGACGGATTTAAGCATATTCAAGCTCTTAACACGATATTTTATTGTAAATGAGTACTCCATGTTGGTTGTATGACGCGTTTGTACTAAATGAGTTAACATCGAGCTGTAAACAATTTTAACTAAACCTTTGCTTATTCACACTTGGAAGTATTCACAAGCACGAAAATACAAGTTTCTAGAATACTTGCCAGTGTGAATTGTTTTAATTGAATTGATAGATACACAAAGAAGCGGGTAGTCTAAGTGAATTACTCTTCAATCTCCGAGTGACCGTCGGATGTGTGGAAAACAACAATTGCAGTTTACCTGGATTCAAAGTCCTTTGGATTGCTCTATGCAACTTTTATATTAGCATTGTGCTGGTTGTATCGTCTCTAAATTGTAGACGTATATACAGAAACGTTTTGCTTACAGTTAAGCTTTCTTTATGCTCTCTCATGCCTAGATGCTTGTTCATAAATTTTTCGGGATATCCATTTTATTTCAAAGTAGTGCTCAGTGCCTTCGTTTCTTCTTCAACAGCATTTAGCAAGCAAATTGTCTTGATTCTATAATGAGGCGCCTTGATCAGGTTCTTTTTATATTCTAGTGGAACAAAACTAATCAAATTTGTTTACTAGTCAGTCCAACAAGTTTTCTTGTCTAAGTTTCTTCCTAGTGAACCATCTATTATCCTTGTTAGAAGAACATTTAAAGAGAGTTTTCTTTTCTTTTCTTCATCACATGTGAATTTATTAAAGGAAGAACTTCTTTAAATCTATTGAGTGTCTTTACCCGATCACTATGGTCGTTACAAAGGAATACATCCCTAATACTATGTTTCACTAGGTCTTTGTGGAGTGGTATTAAAATTGTTACCAACCTCTTTGCTACAGTATGGTAAGGGGAATCGTACGTATCACAGATTTGTCGCAATGGAATATCCAGTTTGTGTACCTTGGGTAGTCCGTATATCTTTGGTAAATGAGTACCTATCTACATATTCAGTGTTAAAGACGGTTCCATTGATTAAGTTTAAGTAAATTATTCACCTCACTGTCCATAGTATGTTACTGCCCTGTCTGCAAGATATTTATAGCTATACAGTTTAGTCAATCGTTGTATACTGATTTCAGAACTGAACAAAGTAGGAAATAAATTGGTTTAGTGGTTGATAAGTTATCCGACAGGGATCACTAAAAACAAGCATCTGCTGAAAGTTGCCTAAAAAAATTGAGAAGTATTTGTAAAACAGAGAAAGCTATCTTCAGTTTAATCAAAAATCACTTAGACGTCAATTCCAATTCATTTTAATAATTTGGCTTGAAATGGATAGTGGGATATCTACATTGTTATTAGAAAAATAAAAACTAGGAGGTTAAACAGTCGAATTGCTAAATGAAAATCTATTTGTTATAAGTCATAAGATTTAAGTGCTCTTCTTATTTAGAAGCTGTTTCGATGTAAATTGAAATAATTGTTCTTTATTCCTTGATATTGTAGATCTTTGATAAAAAAACTATTAGATTTGATAAAATTTGAAGGTATATCAATTAATTGTTTTTTTGTTTATTTATGCTAATTATTTTCTTCATTACATTATATTGGTTTATCTATTTTAGTAAACAATCCTGAAAGTGATAATCATTCAGTTAATTTAAATCTAATCCGTTTAAATAGTACAAATCTTATTGAGAGAAGATGACCAAAACATCATTATTGGGATCAATATGAATCAAGAATGTTAGTTGTAGAAGCTGCACCAATCTCACCTGATCATCCGATATTAAAATCTAAATTAAATGTACTTGAAAAAGTAAATAATGAACATTCTGGAATTAATTATAGAATTGATAATGATACTGATCAATGTACTACTGTGGATAATCGATCATCTAGTAAAAAGGTATGAATTATTTACCAAAAATACAAAATAACTTACAAATGAATTTTCTTCGTATGGTGTTAGTATATCCTTAGTCAGTTTAGTTGCTTGCTTATCAACAATCTCATTTTAAATGGATTTGTTTTGTACGTTTATAAAAGTATTCTGAATATCTTCTTGGTCAAAATTTACCGAGTGTTAGTTTGAAGATTATTGGGCTAAAAAAATGTATAAGCCTTTATGCTTTATTATTATTTAGATTCAATCAGTCTTATTTTGAAACCCCTTATGTTCGCATGAGTATGGTTGTAGAAATTTTTCATAATTTTGATTTGCAACTTTAAATATTTTAACGTATCACTGGTAATAAACTCCAGTTTTCTATTGAACAAGATTACATTGAATAAAACCGCTCTCTCTCTTGCTATTAATGTTATTGGCTGATAGATGAATGTGAATAATACATTCTATTTTAGTCGATGTTCATTGTTGGCATTCTGTTGAACTTCAGTGCCTTAGGGTTTTCTACGGGTAACCGTAATTAAATATATATAACATGAGAATGACAACCATTCTTTATAAAGTATATCAGTCGAAATAAGAGTCTACAATGAGCTGGTTAAGTTAGCATATCTTAACTAGTATTCCATATAACTAAAGTGATACAAGGTATTCTGTTATTGAAGTAAAGACATCCTGTAGTGAACGAACACCCACCGGGGAAAGATCAATTTATTAGTTAATACAAAATTACCGAATGTCTTCATAAAGTACAAAAACTACACATTAAATAATTCATTTGTATATCATCCATCAGTTGACTATTATGAAACGTTCCGTTCCTTCATTCCTGTTGTTATTACAATAACTCTCTGGTTACATTCCTGTTCACTTCAATGCGATATTCTCAACCTTCTGCTGCCAGGCATTAAAATTCTGATTGGTGTTAAATACGTCGACAGACATAAGTAGCATGCACCACAATACTATACCATGGTCAGATTGATTCAGTGTTTAATGTCCGAATTAGCTGATTACACTTTTATCTACAGACATAATTCACAACGTACTCCCTAAACATCCCAAAATTTTGCTTTTATTTGATATGCAAACAAATAAGGACCTTTTAATTATAATTATTATCATTACTACTCCTTGTTTATGTCAAAAAGTTGAAAGTAGAAAGGAATCTTGTTGTTTGAAGCGTTTGATTAATTGGTTATTATTTCGTAACACATTTGGATGTGGAGAGTTTTGAACTTTGTATTTTTCTATAGCGGAATTTACTGACTAGTGAAGTTCAACCATGATGACCATGGAACATTTCTAATCGACTAAATTTAGAAGTGTGATCTACTGAATACCAGCCCAGTGATCTAAATGCAGGTAAAGTGTTCGTTAGTCGGGTGCTTAGCTTTCCAGTATTTTCTGGATTTAAATGGCTCTCTAACTAAGGTTGGAGGTTGACGTGAAACTACAAAATGTGATTTTGGTTGAATGTAGGTGATCAGTGAAAATATCAAATACACCACAACCAATTTACCAAATTTACTGGGTTTTATATTGTAGTTTATATTAAAGATGACATCACACAGTTGTATACTCAATGAAAATTAAAAAAACCATGCTAATGAATTGTTTGTTTTTATAGTTTTAAACTGATAGATATTAAACCTGACTTTGACTACTTCCACGATTGTTCATTGGTTACTTTTGTTTAATTGGAACTGTTAATATACCTTGTAACTAATTCTATGTTCAATGCAGTACAGCTGATTTTATAGTTGCGATAACAATTTCCTTCGTTCAATAAAAGAATTGAAATTATTCTTCATTACAACATAAAACAGATCATGATGGCTTGGCTCGATCAAGCAATGAATTTTTTGTTTTAACTAAGTTTCGGTTTTCCTCAAAGATTTAAGCTGTAGTTTTCGACTAACCACCTTAATGTTTTAATACGATATATTTTAGACTAAAATTAATTTACATGTAATAAACTTGTGACTGCTTTTATGTTTACTATACTAACAAATATGTAGTACTTAATGGATAAATTATCATGAAAGAGATGTATTTTTGATGAACAAATCTACCAGAAACAAATGTATTTTAGTAACCATTGATCTATTTATGTCAAACAACTAATAGTACAATCTTGTACTGATGAATTTTACTTTGCTTTTCTCCATTTTTATTTCTTTAGAAATCGAAAGTTTCTACTTCGATTGTTTGATTGTTTATTAGTCCAGATCGAAATGATACAATAATTCAAGGATCATTTCTAATGTCTTTTCATCATAATGCATTGATTGGTGTTGAAGTACCATTCATATATTTTTCTGTTCGTGTACGTTACTACTTATTACGTTTATACAAGCAAAACCTTATTAAACTATATTTATTAAGAAAATTTATACAAATCTCTGACGTGAACTACTTTTAGAACAAACAAATAAGCGAAAATGATAACTGTGGGCTGGCATGTGATTTGCTTAGATGTAAAGTTCCCAAAATTCTAATGAGAAGTCAAAAGGTACGAAAATTAACGATGTTGTAAGGGTGACAATTAACATATGATACAACTGAAGAACGGTCTAGCTATTTTATAGATTGATGAAAGTAGGAAAATGTTAACATTGTGACCATCAATAAAGGAGGTTGTTATATAATCTGGGGACTTTGTTTAACCCGTCCGATGGCAACTGGTAACGAAATGCTGAAAAGTTTTAAACTAGGAAAAAACTATCACTCATGACATTCTACTTTTTGATAATATTCAACTGGCAAAACCTGAATTTGAAAATTCGCTTCATAATGCGATACATTAAGGTTGAAAATAGTGCTGATTATATACACTATCCCAAAACAGTTCATGATATTCAAAATTAGGAAAACATTTCTACGATAAGTACGATACAATTTTAACTCATAGAGTGAAAATCCAGCCAGTCATGATTAGAACCCCGGTCAATTTGCAAGTTATAAGTTTGGTCATGTGTAATGTAATGAACGCTTGAACTGATGAAGATTTCTAGATTACAGAGAAACAACTATTTGGTTCATATTAGTTTTCTTTTGCCTTCCAGATGATTGCAGAGCGAGGTGTAAACTATTGTCATATTTTTCTTCATATGCATATTGACTTATAAAACCAAAGAACTTTTCAGTCAGATTTACCAACATTCTATACCTCAGTAGTTATCCTAAAAAGTTAAACAATTTTAGCATACTATCAAGAGAAAGTAAAGATAAATATGTAAAGGATGTCCTGAAGTCTATGTTATCCATTATACATAAATCGTAATCATTTACAATAAAAATAGTTGTTAAGAGGATATAAAAGGGTATCGATATTCGAAGTTAATTATTTTGGTCACTTTGATGTTACGATTATTTCTAAATTAATATGCCCATTTTAAATGATCTTTTTTCGTCTATATATCATTTGAAAATGTCACCCATTAATATTCAATTAGTTGATCCTATTATGTGCCCATGTAATACATCAAAAGTAGTAATCTAATTCATTCTCAATTTTTCAGTTTGATTTAAATCATCTTATTCTTGATGAACAATATCGAAATCATTTTGAAAAGATTACATCTAATCGTCCCATAATCAATAAAATTGATTGTACATCAACAATTACAAGTAATCATAATAATGGTTTAGATCTGAATACATCATTGCATAGAGAAGATGAAGAATTGAATGATAATGATGATATCAATAGTCATTCGAGAAGGAAATCAATGAATAGTGAAGTGAATGATGGTGATGAATCAACAACTCAGAATAAAGTACATTATATTGATAGATGTGTAATGCAAAATTTTATTGGTCTTGAGGATGCTGATGAGAAAACACGTGAAGCTATGCTAAATTTCAGCTATTATTTAGCATTAGGTGAAATGGATTCTGCATTTAGAGCCATGAAATTGATTAAAAGTCCAGTAGTTTGGCAGGTATGCTATAGTAAATCATTCGTTGATACAGGGAAACGTATAATGACTTAGTTAAACAAATATTTTATTTAATTACCTTACCATACAAAAAAACAGTGCTCACACTTGAGTTTGACTTTGTCATCTACGAAACCCGATCAATAGTGATTCCCAAGGTCGGAATCATGAGTGGATTTAAGCTAGACCACTAGTGAGAACGTAGAAACACGGAATGACCACTTTGTCCTGGTATGAGCCTCGACTACAAATCCCCATACTGATTACAAACATGTGATCACTAGTGATTAGCTTCAAGATGTAACTTATGGAGTTCTAGAGAGTAGCCGTGACCAGCGGAGTCCAATCCATGTCGGGTGTCAGACAGTTATTTACCTCAGGCAATGGATGAAGGGTTGCACAAGATTATGGATTGATTGAAGTTAGAAATCAACACCGTTGGATGCCAGGTTAGTGGTCTAGAGACTAAGCGTTTGCGCGCGAGTACCTCATGCGGGATCATGGATGTGCACTGCCGACGATTTCCATACTAGAGTGAAACGGACGACCGTTTCGTTCTAGTATAAGATTCTTCAGTAGTGCCTCCAGGTTTTCATTGACGGCCTAGCTTAGATAGACTCGTGATTTCAACTGTGGAAATACTGTGATCTACACAAAATCCCATACTAATAATCATGATCTGATAAAAATGGGGTCATTCAAATCATCTGTTAATATTGTGGATTCTGATAGATTTTCACAAGATGTATTTTGTACTGACTGATTTGCTATAAAATTTAAATGATAATAGTGACATTAATAACAATCATAGTTATTATGAGAAAAGAAACTATTCAACTGTGAAACAATTTAGTATGGTCTGTTACTCATGTTAAAATAACTTTCAAATTGGGATTCTAGGCTAATATTTCATATAATCTTATAACAAGGTTTATAAAGCTAATAAATCATAACTTGAATGATCGATTTCTATCAGGTCTAAGGACCACGGAAACATGAGTAAATGTAAATATCTCGGACCCGCAAAGATTCAGTCGCGACTCAAAAACTCACTTTCAACATTTTAAACTATGAATCTAAGTGACTATGGTTTAAATCCCATGGAGAGCATCAGTAGCCTCAAGATTCATAGTAAGACATCGTGGTGAGCGCTCACTACTGCGAAACCTAGTTCTAATGTTTAAACAGACTACTCGCAGCCACCTTACATATTGATAGGTTTGATCAATCAAACATTTCCGTTCAAGGTCAAACAATAACTGAGCATTGCTGATGAGTCTGCGCTATTTTTCAAGATTGGGCTTGATTTTCTAAGGAAGACGACCACACACTATTGATTCAAAATGTGGCCCAATTTTCTTAGGAAAGTAGATATATATTTATGAATAAGTTTGTACACATATTTTTTCACCTTAATTAAACTTTCTTTATGATACAATTTGCCTAAACAAACTGTTTTTCTTCTTGAAAAAAAATAATTTTTTATAGAATATGGCTAAAATGTGTGTTACTACTTGTCGGTTGGATGTTGCTCGTGTTTGCTTAGGAAAAATAAATAATCCAATGGGATCAAAAATGTTACGTGAATTTAAAAGTAAAGAACCAGAATTAGAAGCTCAAGCAGGAGAATTAGCTTTACAAATTGGTATGACTGTAAGTGTTAAACTTTAATTTACTATTCAATTGTCTTATTGCTCAAATATTTTAAAAGATCTTTTTAGGAAGATTTTTTTGTCGTTGGTTTTCGTCATAGGTTTAAATTATCTCCAGAAAAATTATAAGCCAGAAAACATTAAATATCATAGTTTAGAATTCCCTTAAAATTGTACACCTGTAAGAGAATGAACTAAGGGCTTTTGTGTCTCACAGAGAGAGCACTTTACTTCTAAAGATAATTAACCTGAATTTAATTATTCATATTTTCAAATTTAGTTAATTTACAGCGAAGCACTATCATCATTCAGTGCGGGGAATGATATCTGACTCACCTGCAAGTTGATTGGATTTCACTATGTATGCCTTCTTTATAGAAACTTTGGGAATTCTTTTTGATACTGATCATTAGTATAGTTTAATCCGGCTAAAGTTCATTTTAGTCATGAATCGAGATGAGGCATTATGAACAAAAGTATCAGTGAATGATTTCGTATAAGGAATGAGTGTTTGCTGAATTTCTAATTCCTCACAACGTTTTTTATATCAGTAGGCAAGTAATTCTTCTTTATCACTGGTTATACCACAAACAGTCGTATTAGTCATTTTAAAAAAAGACTGTTTAATCATTAATTCCATATTTGATAGAATTCATTCATGATGCTTACAATCTACATTTCATTAGTTACAGTTAGTCTAGACAAATATGTCATTTTTTGTTTTCTTACCGTGTTAAGATTTATTCTATTGTATTCTTACCCCAGCGAATACTGTATTTTGGGAGTAGATGATTAGGTTGTTTACGTAAAATATATACAAAATTCTTTAGATTTCTGCAAATCTCCTTTAGATTCTTATCCTTTTTTAACTATCATTGTTTCAGATTGTGATCTAAGGTATAAATATGTTTAGTCCTTAATCGTATGTATAAATTTGTGATATCACTTATGTGGTTCTAAGATATGATTTGAAACATAAGCTGAAATCCTCTTCTAGTGTTTAGCATTTTGTAGTTATCTAATTTGTTATTGCTAATTTGACAGTATTAAAGTCTTATTAATTTTCGTGAAATAAATAAATGAACTTTATTATCATACAATTATAGTAATTAACAATAATTTGTCAGCTAATAAGTTATTGATATATGTACCATACTGATGTAAAACTGATCCAACTTTATCTAAGTTGTTTCCAGGGATCTATAAATTTAGATCTCTAGGTAAACAGTATAGAATTAAAATCTAACTCTGAAGTCCAAAATGACTATTATCTTTTTACTTTACAACTATACTTGTTTTACTTTAAGGTTTACATCACGAAATGTTTTAAATTAGATAATCACTGAGGACTATAAAGCAGTAGATACATATTTTGTCTTAATGTGGGACTCAGAAATGCACGTCGATGATATTGTCAGGGATCTAACCCCAGAATGTCATGTTCAGTTAGTAACACAACCATTAGTATTATTCAATGTACTTCCAGTCGTTCATTGTTTACAATTGTACTACATATGAGGTCAGTTTGTGTATCGCTAAAGAGTCACATAATCGGGGGCGAAAAAGCTGTTTACCGTTCCCTAGTTTTCAATGGTTATTTAACTAAGGTTAGTTCGTTATGCATAGTATGATATTTGATAGCTCCCAAAAACCCCTTTACGCGTGTTTTTGTATTAAATCTTTTCCAAATAAAACATTTATAAGATTTTCTTAAGTATTTGATAGCCTATTCTTTGTTAATGGTAACAATTGGAGTTAATATTTACTGTTTTATTCTATGAACATTTTACTAAAATGAAACTGCTCATTTAGATTACTTTTAAGTAGCTGTTAATAATAACTGTATAGAACTGTAGATTTTGTAACAAACGCAATCTACCTAGATAGTTTTTTGATCTCTGAAAATAGCAACAGATCAAAAGACTTTCCCAAATAATGTTTAAACAGTTTAAGCGAATTGGTGATAATGGATTCTGTAAACTGATTGGTCTATGCACAAAGTTTTTTTGTAAGGATTTACTTATACTTTCCACTGACTATAGGAATGGGGTTGATTTTTGTCACTAATTGCATTGTAAAGGGTGACCAGGCTTTTACAAAATGTTTATTACTCGTCTAATCCTTGATCTTGAAGTTACTTAACATTTTTCTCAATAGCTAATAAACTGAAGGTATTCCAACAAATCTCTTGACTGTTAAATGACATGAGTGACATGCGAGAACAACTATGAGTGACATGCTTCTAAAACTCCTTTAATCTTTTTTTCGTTTTTTATTTTGACGATTTTAACACTTTTCCAATGAAAATCTTGGTAACATTAGGTAACATGTGTTCATTTGAGCAGAGCTATGTCATGAGATTTGAAACTGATGAATTATGAAGGAAATGAAGAAGACATCTTCTTCCTTCGGTATGATGTTTCACATAGTTGTGACAATTTAATTTTGTAGACAATGTTCTACTTGTCTGGCATTGTTATTACGTCCCTTAGTTGACATTATATAGATTGAAAAGGTTTCGTTGATTAAGGCACTTAGTTCAAAGAAGGACAATGCCATTACAATTATTTTTTCTGTAATTTTAATGAATACAGCTTAAGATGAGAACCAATTCTAAGAATGAATTCAGATGCCTTAGTCAGTAGTTTGAAGTTATGGTAAAAATATCCACAGAAGCTGGTCTAATACTTTGTTTAAAACTAACTATCGCATACCGTACTATTCCTTCACTAGCTAGCGTCGAGCTACATAATGACTTCTTGGGCTCAAAATATTCGTGTAAAATAGACATTTTCATGTGACTTTTTGCCGCCAGACACTGATTTGTATTTGATTTACTGAAAATAGATGGATATTAAAAACCATGATATATTTTGTATATCTCATACATTAGTTAGACAAGGTATGGTACGATGATACTTTGAAAGGTTGATAACTCTGAACACTTCATGTTGGTTTAATTTATTAAGGAGGAGGCTGAACAACTATTCATTCAATGTAATCGTTGGGACTTGGTAATTCGTTTATATCAGTCGCTTGGTAATTGGAACAAAGCTTTGATAACAGCTGAACAACATAATCGTATGTTATTACGTAGTATTCATTATGCCTATGCTAAAGAACTGGAGTCTGTGGGTAACATTCAACAAGTTATTGAACAGTAAGTTTTATTACTTCCAAATTATTTTTTTATTGTTAAAATCGTTTAGCTACCCGATTAAAAGTGATAAAGAACTGTACTTGTTTTGAACATCTGTTAAGATACTGACTTCAAACATTTAAACACTGTCATTCTAATGGAAATCTATATAACAATGATTACAATATTGTAACAAAAAACAGTTTTTAAGTACTAATATTTACACTCACAAACGATCATACTTTGAATTCTAAAAGGTTTGTTGAAGATCATTAAGTGTTTTTATTTAGATAGTAGTAAGACTAAATAATATGTTGCTAGACGAGACAAAGGTGAGTTTTATAGATAAAATGGTTGACCATTATTTATATTTATGATATTCTACTGTAGAATGAGCTATTTTTTTAATTTACTCTACTTATTAAGAAATAATTCCTCATAACATTGTTGATATTGATAACTAAAGCTTCTCAAGTCAAATATTTAGCTGCTTGAACTCGTCCTTATTGAAAGTATCATCGAAAGTATCCTGAGATTTTTGTTCTATTTCTAAATGCCCACTATAATCTTATTTAGTATTATCTTTTTAGAAAAACTGGTTACTTACAAGTAAAAATATCCTTTTATCATAAATTTAACTGTAAATACAAGGTAGATATTGTCAAACTTCACGATTAGTAAGATGGAAATTTAAATTTTCATGGATTCTAAGCTAGTTCATCTGTCATTTTGATAATACTGTCAGCTTTTGGCAGTTAATTAATTTGATTTTTATCGAAGAAATTCTACATTTTCACTAAAATCTATTCAGTAAACGCTTACATAGTTATTTTTGAACAGACAGTCACATAATATGAGATTTGACAGTATTTTTCATTATCCTATTATAGTGAACGAGAACACAATCAAAGAATCCCTCAGTAAAATCTGTGAGCCATACAGTAAATACTTCATTTGCAAAATGTCAACCAATTGTCTCAGACTTCATTATTCCTTCTTCTCCACATCAAGCATTCTCGATTCTTGTTCTCTTTTTTTCGATCTTCTTAACCTTCTGCCGTCAGATATTTCACATCCGATTGATAATACATACTACTTATATCTGTCGACATCAGTAGCCCACATCACTATTGACATAATGACTTATGTTTCGTACTTACTGGAAATAAAAAAGATCTTTGCTAGTTTTGTAAAATTCATATTCATTTAACATTTGGAATATACATCATTTTCTTGTCAAAATCATGGAAATTGTTTTTTTTTAAAACAAACAAGTAACAATTCATTCTTTTAAAACATGATATCACTAAGTTATTTTCAATTCAACAAAGAAGTATATCAGTAAGGAAATGACAAATAAACCCCCGAAGTATTAGCTTGAAACCGATAACTGTAAAAAAATGTATTATATCAGAAGACTAAATACTAATAGTCTTGATTTCAAGAGCATTAGTAGTTTAAACGAATGTCTTGATATGTTCGAATAGGAAAATTCAATTAAAAATTCAGTAGGCAAAATTACAAATCATTAAAAACAGTTTAGAAAGTATTTATATTAATTGAAATACCATCAGTCAGGTATTTCCACAAATCTTACACAATATAAATAAATATATGAAAAAATAAACTGGTTTTAGTGTCATAAAGGCTATGTAGAACTGGATATCAGCAAGCATATGTTATAAAATACATACATAGGATTAACTCGATTATAACTTTTTTCATTGTGTTCATAAAATGTAGCTGTATTATGACCTGAACTAGTGGTACTACGTTGTGAATCTTCATCGATTGAGATGATTGGGCCACGTGTTACGTATGCCTGAACACCGATAACCGCGACGCTCAATGCTGACTAGTGTAGGGGATGGTTGGAAGAATTTACGGGTGGCCAAACCAAAACATGGCATTAGTCCTTGAAGTCACTAACTTCTAGTCTGAGCCATGTTGGTAGATGCACAGTACTTGGTTGGGGTCCGTTTGACTATGATAACCAATGGTTAGAGACTCTGGGTGACATGGATCAGAATCGATCACAATGATGTCGGTGTGTACACTCTTGGTCTTCCCTTATACTATGTCACTAAAATCGCTTCGTATCTTCCTTTCTACGAACTAATTCTTTCTTCGTGTACTATGTCCTTATACGCAATATTTCTTATGCATATTACCACCACTGAATTAACTACTTCTATTACTTTTGTGTTTATCTTGGTGTGCTAATTAGGTATGGGAACTTGAACCGATGCATATATATGCCTGGTCCTACGTTGTAGTTGGCTGACTGACTGACTACGTTCCATGAACGTATTCTAATCTGAGTAAATTAATTTGTGAGTAAGATAATGGCATTTCTACAATATACAACATTCCATATGGGATAAGAGGATCCATTTGGGTTTCTACAGTGGAATGTTTGAAATTTTGTAAATTCAAGGATGCAAGTGAAATTATCTTCCAATATTGCTGATTATTTTATATTGAAATATTGATAATAAAACACAGTTTGATAAAAAGAATAAGTTAAGCAACCAATCAGAGAAAAAAAGCAAGAAGAAGGAATCACCGATGATCCATAGTTTTCATATCGTAGCTTCATTTACAATGTTAAACTTACAACATCTAACATTAATCATAATGATATAATACTAAGATAAATTTCAAATCATGATTATCTATATTTTATTATACCAGACATTTTGTTCGTTATAAATTTATGCCGTTAAAACATTGATCCTGATATGTTTTTACAGTGAGACTATAATTTATGGATGATTTTTGAGCGAAACCAAAGTGACCTTCAGAGTGTCTCCCTACTTACTAGGGTTAAATGAGGGTTATAAAGTAGTTTGAAGAATAAGGATTATGATTTACAATTAGATAGGTAAGGTTAGGAACTAGATTTACGGTATTTCATCACGAACTGACATCAGCTAAAATGCCAAAATGATATTTGGCCAAATGGGTGAATAAATTTCGCGCCTAAATCTGATTGGTTCATCTATAAATTATAGTCTCACCGTTTTTAGATTCACATTTGTTTTTATTGACTTTAATTTCTTAAAATAAAAAAAATCATTCATATTTAATATTTAGTTATATTAAATCAGGAACTTATCAGTTTGAAGTTCCTAGAATGTTACAAAATAATCCAGAATTATTAGAATCATTTGTGAATAAACAAAATGATCAGTAAGTATACTTGATTTATTTGAATAAAACATTTTTGTTAAATTGTATTGATATTGATCATTATTTTCATTGAACATGAATAGATTTTCAATGGTAAATATGCATGGATGTAATATAAGTTGAAGTAAAACAAATCTGAGAATACATAACCTAGTTTTTGCTGTGTATAGATTGATAGATAGATAGATCTAGAGGTTAAAGATTCATACGCAGGGTCAAGTGTCCTGGCTCCGACTTCCGTGTGCGCATGTCGAGGAGTGGTGTACTAGGACGAAACGGCCGTTCAGTGCTTTCAGGGTTTTAATGATGGTCTAGCTCAAATCGATTTGTTATTTCAACTGTGAAAATCCAGATATGCAAAAAGTGAAAACTAAGACTGTATAGACAGTTTTTATAATAAGGCCCTTCCAACATGATTACGAAATGATCTCATTCTGTATCGCTAACTGTAGGGAAACCTCAAAAAAATATAAATTGGCTGACTAAATGTTGAAACATTCATTTTTTTTTCTTTTTGAACTTAGAAATGTCAAAAGTTGGTGGGCAAAAACATTAGAAGCTCAGGGGCGTCTCGAAGAAGCGAAAACGTATTATTCTAATTCGAAAGATTACCTATCATTAGTACGTGTACTATGTTGTCTTGGTGAAGAATCAGAAGCTGAAACAATATGTAATGAAACTGATGATCCTGGTGCTTGTCATCATTTAGGGAATCATTTAAAATTGAAAGGTTGTATAGATCAAGCAATTCGTTTATTGACAAGAGCAAAAGCTTATTCAAGTGCAATACGTTTGTGCAAGGTAATAAAATCGAATCATCATAATATCATCAACACTAAAAAGTAGACTAACATGAAATTGGTAATGATTAATTGATCAATCAATTTTAAATACCTTTGTCCCACTCAGGGTATGTCGCACCACGAATAACTTAATGGTAACGTTTTTCAATGAGAAACTTGAATCCTATGGGAAGAATCAGTTTCCTAACAATTTCAGATATCTATTGATGAATAGTGCTAACTGACAAGAAACGTTGTTACAGAGTTTTTTTTACCGACCAACTTCAACCACCCAAAATGATCATAATGTTGCTTATGTTGAAAAATAGATATAATAACTAGCATTTATCAAGAGTTATCTGACTTCAGGACCTGAACATATCCTATCATACATTAAAGAACATTGATCATTATCATTCCGAAATTAGGTGACTTGTGTTTTGATTACCATGAACGTTATAGTGGTAAATAAATCCCCACAATAAATAGTTCTATAAGCCTTCAACATTGATGCTGACCTCATTAGTTCTACCTGACACACCATAGCTAAAGGCTCTCGTTCACGTATCCACACCAGATCACCATTATGCACGCCGTGCTTCGCCCCCCTTTCAATAACTTGTCAGCTTAGGTCACATACTTCTTGACACACCAATTATTCTTCAAATATATCTTCGATTCCTTCATTCCTGATCCCTGGTTTGACTGCGCTAGGTATCCTCAACAATTAAGTTGCTACTGTCAACAGCGTTGTCAAGTCCTGAATATTCGTGACATTTTTAAATTAAATTCACTTTACATTTTAATGGCGAAGGTTTACACCAGTTCTGCTTTTAGTTATTTTTACCATACACCATATATCTACGTATTTTTATATCATTTTATTTCGTTGGATGATGGATGAACGAAAATTTCTTAATAAAGCTGATGTCTTGTATTTGAAAAAATAACACTAATCACTGACTTGAAAACTACGAATATTATGTCCCATTCATAATCTTATATCGAGAATTTTCATTAGTCGTCAAATATTAAAGTCCACCTTGCTCTCAAATGGACTGGTACAGAAAAAGTTAGAAAGTTGATTCTCCATCTCAAAATACTTTCACATAGCCATGTGCTTATAGCCACTGTTAAGGAAGTGCTATTCATCGCTTTTATGTGGTAGAGGTTTTCACAAAAGGGGAAATAAAACAGAATTCTAGCACTTAAACCGGGTTGCTAGATACAGATAGTCCATTTTTTGGATTTATAAAACTCCGACTCCTAATCCATGTTGAATATCATGCTCAAGAGCCCTTAGAGAATAAGGTAAGAACTTATTCTATTCACTGCCTGACACTAGACTGTAAATTCTGACATCGCTTAACTGCCTTTGAGGTAGATATTTGAGTCGAACGCTCGGGAAGTGGTCTCCTAAGAAAACTACCTGTACATACCTGGAAATCAGGGGGGACCTCAATGATTATTCAAATAAATCGACTATTATTAATATCTATCTTACAGTAAAAGAATTTGTACATAAATGATCAATAAACGATCTACTTAAAGTTTGTTAGTTATTTTCATGTCTTATGAATGCCAAAAATCGCATAGATACTTATCGATATGACATAAAGATTTTCAAAAATCTTTGATATTTCATTATTTATTTGGTGAAACTTGTTCATATCTTGAACTATGCTTTAGTATATTACTACATTTATCACTTTAATAACAGAAGATATTTTTAATATTTCCCATATTGTTATTTTTCTTTTCAAATATTTCTTACAGGAACATAATCGTAATGATCATCTTTTTAGTTTAGCTCAATTAGGCAGATCAGATGATATATTAGAATCAGCAAAACATTTGGAAAATTATCCTGATTATATTGATAAAGCAGTATTATTATATCATAAAGCTGGTAAAATTAATCGTGCTATAGAATTAGCAATTAATAATCATCAGTTTGATGCTTTACAAACTATTATTAGTTCCTTAAATGATGAACAATTAGATTCAGTTATGTTAAAAGAATGTTCAGAATTCTTTATACAAAATAATCAATTTGATCGAGCTGTTGAAATACTTGCAGCTGGTAAACAGGTAATATCATGAAATATTCACTCATAATATAAATGTTTACAAAAGATTAGTAAAATTGATGATTAGGTAGTATGTAATACTATGTTTTATATCAACAGTATTATCAGTCCGTTATATCACGGTAGGTTATTATTGCGATGCGTATTCTTTGAGGTATTCGGAATCTAAAGCCTCCTACCTACAATCTTAACAGGTTTTTTCATGATGTATAGCTCGTAGTTGTCTAGAAATCTCCACTTCATCGTCCTGTGAACTCAAGGGATCTTACAGTCAGTTAAATCTCATAGATAAACCAGGTTAGCAAGCAATTCGATATCTGGAATTATTGACACTCCTAATCTTAACTAAGAAGTTGTCAATGCTATTAAAACTTTAATTACCGCGTCAAGAGTTAGTGATTCCACATTAAACGATGTTCTTTCACATCTTCAATTCTCTGCTGAATTAAAAAAACCGACTAATAGATTAATCATTTTAACTATAATATAAGATTCTTTAAACTCTATTAAAATTAATTATTATTTATTCCAAACAAAATTTGAAATTTAAACAAGTACATACCACATATAATTAGAAATACCGTACAATTAAAACACAAATAAAATTGACATTGTAAATTTACAGAGAACAACTGAAGTTCTTCCTACTAAAATATGTGTCACAGATAGATTACATTAACTAAAAATCAACCAAAGTAGTTAAATCAAAGTAAGTGATATAGAAAAGATGACAGCTCAACACCATAAGTTAGTAATGATTCACTTGCGAATTGCTTGCACAGCCTGTCAAAAAACTGGTCATAAATAGAAGTAAAGATGTAAAGGTGGTATTTAACGTTACTGACATAAAAAATGATCATCTGTCAATCACAAATGATAAGGGTAAAAATAGTAAAACAGCTACAAATAAGCTTGTAACATCACGTAAACATGGTAATTGTGGCTAGTTAACGGATACGTATCTAGAGTATATTTGACAAGTACTGCTTTAGTATATATATATATATATATATATATATATATATATATATATAGGCTACTTTGCCATCGTGACCTCAAAAATCTGGACTACACTTCTGCTTTTGGTCATATTCCAAGACAACTTTTACTTAATAAGTTAATCAGCGTCAACAGTGACAGCTGGATAACCAATCGACTATGTTCTCACCTCTCTGAAAGAGAACAGTACACTGTGTTTTGAGGAAAATGTTCAACGTCTCCACTGTCTCATGAAGGTGTACCACAATGGGCCGTTCTTTCACCTCTTCTTTTCTCTTTTTCTCTGTATGATCTTCCATCTTCCACAGAAAACCTTTTTGAAATATGCGAATGATCTCAATGTATGTGTGCCGATTTCTACTTCTTTACATCCCATAGAAATGAATGAGTTTTTGTCTCTCATTGATTGTTGGTCTGTTGGTAATGGTCTCATACTTAATCCGTCTAAATGTCAAGCTGTTAACTTTAGCATGAGACATGAACGGCATTTAAGAACCATTTTGAGATCCCATAATGCTTATGCCATTGGAGGCTCTTTGATAAACACAGTGTCAAAAGTCAATTATCTTGGTGTTACTTTCCTTTGATCTCTCCTGCTCTTCTCATGTTTTAATGTTATCGAAGAAACTTTTCCGTCTGACTTACCACATAAAGAGGCTGCATGCTTTCGGAATTACTCGACATATATTATTACAATTTGTCAATTCCTGAATATTAGCTATTATTATTTACTGTTCTCCATTATTCTGTCCTGAGAAAAGACTTCGCTGTATTGCGGATAGTGCCGAAGGCAGTTAGCAAGGTGTGTGGTGAATCTTTCGAGGTCATTATTAAAATGATTGTGGATAGACATCTAAAGTCTTGCAAACTTCTGTCAGGTGTTATCAGATATTAACCATCCCCTTCACTCATATCTTTCTCCTTGTATATCTTCTAGTATAATGAGACGTAAATACATTAAAATCCATGCACGCAAGCAAAGGTAAAAAAGTTCTGTAATACCTTACCTAACAAATATACTCTGTGACGAACAGGTTGTTAGAGTTAACCTAGTCAATTACCTGCATTCTTAATCATGTCTCTAATTCGAAAAGTTGTACAGATTCAGATCTTTTTTCCACCTTTTTCCTTTCTTTTTTTGTGAAAGGAACTTGTTGAAATACCTCGTGCTGAAAATTCTATATTGTACCAAAATTTAATATTGATTAAAGCCATTAATAGTAAAATAATTACCAGTATATTTCATCAGTCGTTGTTGAGATATGCGTATCTTGTGTCGATATTGTCATTTCGTTAGAACTTTATAAGAAAATAGACTGATAGAATTTAAAACGAGTATTTTGTTCCATGTAAAGTTGATACATTCATCGAATAAATTCAGAAAACTATTATTATATGCAGAATAAGATTAAACCCTTCCTAATAATTATATAAACATAATATGCATTGAATAAATTTAGCTGGTAAATTGACTAAACAGCATAATAGATATATCATTGAGATTTTGAATTGGAAAGTGAACATTAACACTTAGATACCGGGATATCCAGGTGATGAGTTTCAAAAGAAATATTTGTAACTCAGATGGATGATTTTTGATGAAGTTTTATTCTGTGAACTGGATGGTTTACTCATAGAGTTTTTATCGTTCTTCTGAACGATATTATCAGCACAAACTTCATTTAGAAACGGAGTGTTCAAATTTCTCCACATGTGGTTCACAACTTATTCGGAGAGACTCTAATTTATGGACGACCTTTGAACGAATCTTAAGTGACTTTGATAAATATTAGCCAATCAGGAATCAGTCAATATAGAGTAAAAATATATTATGCAAAACCAAGGAAATAAGGTGGATACACTTCTTATACGTGGAATCTATATATGGGGTTTTCATCACGAACTGAAATCAGCTATAATGCCAAAACTCTAACCAAATGGATGTAAGACTTTCGAGCCAAAATCTGAGATCTGTTATCTTATACCTGATTGGTTCGTCCATTAATTATAATCCAGCCATTTTATTTGTCATAGTCGCTCAATTATCATGTTTTGTATAAAATCCGATCGTACGTTAGCATTAAGTACTGAAGTTGTCGCTGTGACCTTGAAATCCCTCAAACGCTTCTGATTGGCTTGTCCATAAATTAGAATCTCACCGTATCTTTCATGAATTAAATTTTTGTTCCTTTGTTTATACATAATTTTTTCTGATTCATTTCTGTTGATAATATCATGAAAAAACTCCACAACTAAACCATCCAGTTCAAATAAAAAAAATGAAAGAACTCCATCATAAATGGTATATCTTTCTTTAATTTCTATTATAACAATACGTCATGTATTTTATATGTTCACTATTTAATAAATTATTTCCATTTACAATATTATATATATATTTATATTTATATAAAACAATTACTTTACAGTATTTGGAAGCCATTCAATTATGTAATGAATATGATATTCCAATTACAGAAGATCTAATTGAAAAACTTACACCAATAACCAATCATTTATCTAATCATGATCTATCAAATATATTTATAAAATTAGGTGAATTATGTTTAATAAATGAATATTATTATTTAGCATGTAAAAAATTCACTCAAGCTGGTAATTATATATCAGCTATTAAATCATTAATTAAATCAGGTGATATAGAGAAAATTATATTTTTCACTAATATTAGTAAACAAAAAGAAATTTATATTATAACAGCAAATTATTTGCAAACAATAAATAATTGGCATAAAAATATAAATATTATACGTAATATTATACAATTTTATATACGTGGACAAGCAATGGAATCATTAATTACATTTTATGAAACATGCGCTCATGTATGTTTATATAATTTTATTTAATTATATTAAATTGTTGTATTTATTATTATTAGTTTTCGGTTGATACCGATTGTATAATAATAATAATAATAACAATAAGTTAGATTATTTAATAATAGTTTTGTTTAGGATAAGTTATATAATGGTTAAATACAATTGTGAGTCAGGGTAATTTTACATTGGTTTACAGGAGAACCAGATACCATTTATAGACTTTCACATGGCGTAACTCTGGGAGATGTAGAATCCTTCACATACCTGGGAAGCATCATCGATGAACACGGAGGATCACATGCAGACGTAAAGACGAGGATTGGTTAAGCAAGGGTCACATTCCTACAGTTGAAGAACGTATGGAACTCAAAACAACTTTCAACTAATATCAAAGTGAGAATCTTCAATACCAACGTCAAGGCAGTTCTACTGTATGGAGCTGAAACTTGGAGAACTACTATAACCACCATCAAGAAGATACAAGTATTTATAAATAGTTGTCTACGCAAGATACACAATGTCGATTGTTGGCCGGATACCATCAGCAACAGCCTTCTGTGGGTGAGAACAAACCAGCTTCCAACTGAAGAGGGGATTAGGAAAAGACGATGGAAATGGATAGGAAATATATTACGCAAATCGTCAAAGCCCTAACTTGGAGTCCTGAAGGGAAGCGAAAAAGAGGAAGGTTAAAGAACACATTAGGTCGGGAAATAGAAGCAGATATGAAAAGGATCAATAGGAACTGGAAAGAGCTGGAAAGGATTACCCAGGACAGGGTTGGATGGAGAATGCTGGTGAGCGGCCTATGCTCCTTCACGAAGAGTAACAGGCGTAAGTAAGTAAGTAACGTGATAACCCAAACAGTACAGATTAATCCTGTTTTACAGGAGAGTCAGACACTATTCAGGCTTAAGCTTTATAACAAGGACAGTACAGCTCAATCCTGCTTCACAGGAGAATCAGACATTAAATAGGTTCTTACGTTACAATCTGAATAATATAGCTCAATCCTATGGTGAAGCCACACAGGTAACAGGCACCTTGATAGACCATGTTTAAGATATACTAGCTATCAATATCAACTAATGAATATATATATATATGATTGTGAACCAGCTCCTGATTTCTAGATTTGTGGTGTGAGCTACTCATATCTACATAAGTAGTATATAACGATAGTCAGAAATAGAATGCATTTCAGTAGATGGAAAAGGAAAGAAAGGGAAGGACAACTAATGGGTATGAAAATGTATGAACAATGAAATCTAAGGCAATGGACTGATATTTACAAAAGGAAAAGTCAAGTTTGAGACAATGGATTGATATTTCACAAATTAAAGATCTAATGTTTGGCTCTCAGATTTTAGTAAGATGTTCGGTTGTCCACAGTTGTGTTCTTGTTCACTACAGATTCGTTTCATTGTAATAGATTATTAATATCGAATAATTAAAAGGTGCATTAGATGTTGAAAGAATTTTCTGAAATGTATCTACTTGTTCTCTATTACAAAAGAATTGTATGCTATCAACACAATGATACCTGTTTGCAAATTGTGATATACATTCATCCTTTCTGAAACATTTGGTGAGAAATTTATAAATGTCTTTATATGAAAATAAAACTTAGAAAATTATTTTTGCACTAATGGCTCAAGAACAAATCGTTAACAGTATCTATGTAATTGTATTATTATGAACATGGTTGTAAATTAGTGTAGGTTGAGTATTTATCCTCAAAAATTATAATATTTATAGTCTACTATAAGAAATAGTAGAAATCTGTGCCAAGTAAATAAAATTTATAGAACTTGAATTCGTCAATCCAATTCATAACTTCTTTTTGTGATAATTAATATTTCATTCGAATATTATGATTGAATACAATCTTATCCAATTTATATATGAGTGTGCTTTATTCAAACAAGATTTAATACCATGTAATATTTATTGAACTATATTATCATTTTATACTTGGTCATATGATATGGTAGACACATAACCACCTCTCTCTACTATTTCAATCCAGCAGTGGAATTAATCTGAATTTTTCTTCAAATTTTCCATTGATAACATTCTGGAAACAGCTTCGTATTAATTAAGTGGCGGTCTGCATATTTTTCTCGGAGTACAACTTTTTGACCTTCAGTATATTGATGATATGGTTTTAGTGTTTGATAATACACAAACTAACCAAATTTCACTACGTCCGTTGACAATCACTGTCAGTAAACACTGCATATACTTTGCACTTTCGAAATATAAAGTTTCCAAAACTGACAGGAACTTGCACTTGATAATACTAACTGAGCAGTAATAAAGAGAATAATATCACTCTATTAGATCAGTGATAAGTTGACGATTGTCTGATCTCTGAATGCATAGGTTCGGTTTAAGATTTTGATACTTAATGCTACTAGTATGTTGTTTCAGGTGGGTAGTTACAGAATAAAAGAAAGTTGGAAATACTTAATTATTAAGGTAACCATTATTTGTGTATCAATAATTTGAAAAATTTAAAGGAATAAAATGTATGAAGTACTCTCTACTCCATAACACTGATTTGAATTTGTAAATGAATATAGGTTTCACAATTTAAAGTTCAGTTGACGATTTATTTATTTCATATAAAGAGAGTGATGTTTTCAAAATCGTTAAAAAAGTTGTTTGTAATGGCCCAGGCGCATCTGCCTTCTCTTAGATTCCTAAATTCTACACAAATTCTTCTGATCACTTCACAAATTTACATTTTCCCGAATTTTATCTTGAATACCTAATCTTTTCTATTACCATTAAAGCTGTTACTAATTCTACTACTCCTGGATTCGCCCTAACAATTTCATCTCGCGGTAACTTGAACGGATATACTCGTGTGCTAGGTTCTATTCTGCGTTTGATTGACTGACTAATTTTTGAAAATTTATGAATAAGTTATCCACTTTAGTAAACGTTAATTTTCATAATAAATTTATGGAATTGTGGTCAAATTTGTATTGATATCAGTTAAAATCAGTAGCACATTAAACGCAATTGTACATGGTTTTGTTTATACTTACTAACAACAGAGTGAAATTGAAGAATCTGGCAATTATGAAAAAGCATTGGATGCATTAACTGAAGCATATAAAGTCTTAGTTAAATTATCAAGTTCAACTATAAATGATGATAATAATCAAACGAATGAATGTCATCTTAAGAAACGTCTAACTCAAATAAAAAAGAAGACAATATTATGCAACGAGTTTATAGAAATTCAGAAGTAGGTTGATTATCACCACCAGTTGTTAAACTTCATTGTAGTGCTTATATTTTGTTACATCAAATAGGAGGTGGATTATCCTATAGTCATAAACTTACTGAATGTTTAGTGATTGATAAACTACATGTTATTATACTTTTTATCCACGTATACCTCTATAGGGAAGTGGTTGACAAGATAAATAAGTATAGTACTACTGTAATTGCATATCGCATTATTCAATATTTTATCTTTCAATTAATGATCCATATGTACAGAAAGTTTGTCAATTCTGTTTAACAAGGAACCACCGATGGCCCGTATCGCCTCATTTTAGAACATTTGTCTATCAGCACCCTATCCATTATTTCACCGATCATAAAAATCGAGACCATTATTTAACACAAACTGAGTTGCAATGTAAGTAAACTGATGTTACTCGAAAGTGATTTCCTTCAATAGGATTGTAAAATCATCAGTGCGTTCGGCTATTTCTGAGTCAAACATTAAAATGTAAATCTAAAAGTACAGTTAAATCCTTGAAGAGATTCTGTCGCACAGTATTATTTTCGGAGACGGAAAATTTTACTCTAGTACATCCATGACTCCATCCACAGACCTATTTGTGTATATTTCTAGCTTATGCTCTGCTAGAAATCCAATTTAAACTCAAATAAATGGTCGTAACATATACGTGTGCTGATCCAGAATAATATAATAAACCTGAATTATTTATTTTAACGTTTTGCATTGAAAGGTACATTAGTCATTTTATTCAGTTAATCATTTTTCTTATTAATGATTGTTTTCGCACAGTGCAGTACGTCATTCCCTCAACAACAAAAAAAAAACAGAAGAAACTAGGGAAAACCGTTTCTTCTTAGTTCGCGACTCTCTATGACTTCACGCGGAATTTAACCCAAGAACTTCAAATTTTGTAATGAGAACATGAATTCTAGCCCGTTCGGTTGGAATCTGAAAGTTCACTTTTTCAAATGCAGTTGATTCTCGGCATGAGACAATCGACTAATTTCCTTAGTAATTTACCAGAGATAGATACACAAATTTATGATAATCAGGAGTAGTTGGAATGACGTGCTAATTAAGGATTACTAGTATAGTCCAATTTAAGACAGACAGAACTCGATGAGCACAACTGGACGTTTTACATTTGGAAATCGAATTAGCCGCATAATAAAGTAAAGAGAAATCAATGTTATTTACAAAAATCACAAATTTTTCAAAAGTATTTTCAGTAAGGCGAAACAACTTGATTTGTCCGTGGAATAAAAGTAGTCATCTTTGACCACAATATAAACTTTTACCAATACAATTGTGTACTCTTATTGTTAAACGAATGAAATATGAGTAACTCATCCCCCATTTACTAATAAAATATTTGCGCTTTTCGTTCAAATGAATAGGTTGTTTTCTACAAACCCAATAGATGCAATGCAAAGATGTTATACACTTTTAGAAAATATTGGGAAAGATGATATATTGAGACCTGGAGATATTTATTCTTTAATAATACGTGGATTAGTAATGGAAGAGAAATATAAAGCTGTAAGTCAATTCTATTACTGATAAATTCTAAAGAGGAATCAACATTATCAATACGAATTGTTTCCCTGCTAAAAAATATCACTATATAACACTCAAATAATTTCTAAGTTTATTGATATATTTAGTGCTTAAATGTTATATCATAATATACGTCATCATCTAACCTAGACAGTGTAAATCAAGGCATTTTCGATTGATTTGTGTATTATATTCAATATTTCGGCGTAACTCAATATTCTGATTGAGTTTAATAATCCCCATACTATGATTAGAATTTGATTATTTGTGAGTAATTTTATCAAATACAGTGATAATTACAAATAATATTTGAGTGAGACACTCAAACAATAATACTCACTCTTTTATTACAACCGATATTTTCCCTTATGAAAATTTTCCTAAAAACAGATTCAATTTAATATTGAAAACTCGCTTTTCTTGAATGACTCATGAACGAACAATAAGATTCACTTGATAGATGAAACGGTATTCAGACAACAAATCTGATAGTATTAGCACTCAAACCCATTGAGTAACAAGGATTTTTATACTATGATTGGTTCACTCGTACTTTTCACAGAAATGGAAGAGGAAAAGTGAACGTCTCTAACTAAAATTACTTACCACCACGGAAATCCCGGGCCTTCAATTCTTAGTTTAAACCTCAAGAACATTTAGCAACACCATTACCTTTTGGGGATCTGAGGATAGCATTTAAGCCTTGGATACAGTTTATTCAGTTGTATGAATCCTACTACCAATAAGATCTGAGCATAGTCGCTCATATCAATTTTTGACTAAAGCTCAGAGAAACAACGTATACAAAAATAATTTATGTCTACATCAGTAGCCACTAAGTATGACGTCGCATCTTTTGCTAAGCCTGTGCTGGTATGGGATTATCGATATTCTGTCTTCTTTCAAACAATTAGGATTCTTACACCTTAAAAGGACTACTTGAACATTTTTAGACACTGTTGGAGCGAATATTAATCAACTCAGACAAGGTAGAATAGCTTATTTATCATTTATAAACATTTACCGTCAGAACTACCGGTTCGAAATCCAAAAGCTGAAGAAAGCAACAAATGGATGTAGTAAACATCAGAATAATTTCAAGATCTTTTTCCCTCGATTGACCCACTTGTTAACATTCACTCTGAGTTAGGACTAGTAATATGCAGGAACAGTTTCATTACATACACTTTCTGTATAATGTAAAAGATTTTATCGAGAATATATGTTAATTAATCGAACTCTGGATAGCATCAGCTAATTGTAAAATAAGTTATGACCTAGCACAAGTTTCGTTATTTGGCAAAGTTGCAACGTATTATGAAATCGAAAATGACGTTAATAATAAACCACAATTTTGTAAAAGTAGTAATAGCGACTGTATGGAACATACAGATTTTTCATAAATACATTGTATCGTTTACAGGCTCTTATTTGTTCATTCTTGATATTTAGGCTTGAACTTATTAATAAATTGTGGAAAAACTACTTTTACGTAGGATTTTTGATTGATATGAAGTATACAGGATAATCTAAAAATTTTATTTGTTTTCAGGCATTGACATGTCTCAATGAAATGAAAGAGCGAATTGGAGATAACATTATTTTCCGATATTTGGACCACGAAATTTTGGAGAAAATTTACAAGACGCTAAACTTAACCTCAATTGAATATGATAAGCACACTTCAGATAAGATCACGATTGAAAACGACGCCTTAGACACGCCTACATATGAGGGTAATGCAATTGATGGAAACGTAAGCGACGAAACAAATGACTGTTAAACACTTAATATCCCCCAAAAACATTCAACAACTTCATTCCATATTTTATAACAAAATCAAACAAATTTAGTTATATATGTATAAAACATGAGAACCAGAATTGTACACCTTAACACAATAACCAGCTATGTTACAATGCTGCAGCTGCTTCCTTTTTCTGACGCTTCTTTTCAGCTTCCTCTTCTCTCTCCTTTTCGATAGCCTGAACATACTTTTGGATATCAGCAAGTTCGAGCATCTAGAAGATGAAAAAAGCATGTATCATAACTTGATATGTATATGTTAACGCAATGTACACTCATCCAACCACATAATAAAAAACAATAAGTAAACAACCTGTACATTATTGACGAAAGAACAAATTGGTGTAGATGTTTTGCAATTTACAAGACTACTCATTATGAACACTTCATTTATTTAGTCAGCTGCCTGGATAAAGCTGTCTAAATGCATTAGGTTTATTACAGATAAGATTGCAAAGATATTTAGTTGGATTGATAAGTAATCCTTCAGAATAAAAATTATAAATTTCTGTTAACAAACTATGTCTGTTTACTAACGAATAAAATCCAACAAAACCTTCACTGCATTTCGAGGCTACATTAGCCTACGAAAACAACAATTCGATTGTCCCAAATGCCAAACATTTGTTGACCAATCAAATTAACAGTGATCAAAGAGACTATTATGGACAAGACAGCATAAACCATATAAATGACCTTATTTAAAGCATAATAACACCACTACAAAACAATTTCACAGATTAATTATTTAGAAATGGATAAAATCAAAAAGTCTCAGGATAAGATAAGTAGTCCAATGATAAGTAGATTAGTTTAGAGATTGAGAAATACCTATAGCCTACGAATAATATATAAAAAACATGGGACCTGACACATAAAAGTACTAAATTAGGCCGTCAAGCTTTGAAGAAAGTGGAGATTGGGAGTAGATAAAAAGAATAAAGATAATACGAACGACTATATTGGTAGAAACAAAAACAATGAAAGGATCGACATGGAAGACTAAAAATACACCCACCATTACGAATAGGCTAATCAGTAATAAGAACAATCACTGATTGTTAATTATACTACATTACACTTCCAAAGTAATTTTGACAGGTAGTTGGATGCTAATTATGAAATCAACACGTTTCAGAATAATTCAGAAAATATGTTGGATTCTATATTATCTGGTATTAAATCCTCAAACGTTTAAGCCCTACCTGTAACTTCGCTGACATAATAATACATATGACACACCACTTCATCCGATAGCTTTGTAAATCTATAAACCCATTTATCTCCAGTATTTGTGCCCAAAGGTTACGTAGCCAATGCTTTCAGGCATACTGCCTTTCCTTATATGATGTCGGGAGGTAGTTTAGTGGAGTGAAAATTTGACAGATGTGCTTTCAACTTTTGCTGAACCCGTTAGTTTCTTGAATTTGTTTGCGATTTAAAACTAGACGACAAATGACTACGAAAACTATAATAAAATGCGTACATTAAGACTATTTTCCTATAGTTATCAGGATTTTTCATTAATCAAAATAACCAATGGTAAAAGTCATTTAAATGATTAGTCAGTCAGTAATGAACAAATTAGAGCCTGGAACAAATGCGTTGGGATACTAGAGTGCGACCAGTCGATATTAACAAGATTAGTAAGGGAGTAGACATAGTGTAGTAACAATGATAATGGGAAAGACTATATGGTGAGAATATAGTAAGAAGGTATAAGTAAAGGAACACTAGAACTCATTATATAAAAGGAGGTGAAGGATAGATGCATTTGAGCCAGTGTCGGATTTTGAACCGTCACCCAATATCCCCTATCACTGAAAGCGAAGACTACCAGATACTGTCTGCTAACATACCACAGGCCAACAATTATTGATATCATGGACCAGTGACAAGTTTTGGTTTGACTCCCCTAAAACAATTATTCATATGCAAATAAGAATCCATTTTAGTTGAAAGCAATTGAAAAAAAGATACCGGATTTTTTACTTAGTTTACGGTTCTTTTCAACTCCCTTTATGTAACGAGTTTTTTTTTAATTATAGATAGGATTGACATTCATGAATATCTATTATCACCGTTTTTAAAAACATAGAGCATATAACAGGAGTAAACACAGATGAAATGTCTTAAAGTTCCAGTACTTGATTTATTAGTCACTATGGTACTCATAAGAAGTCGACATCACTACAGAAATGAAAGCTAATCTATGCACTGTAATTCCACAAAAAAAGCACTGGACTACAAAAGTTTCCTAAGAACATGGATGAGCCGACATCAAGATATTTAACAGAGGCCTGATATTAGATACGCCAAAGCGCTTGTGATGCTCTGCTTATTAACGTTTTGAAGGTGATATCCCAAAACATTTGAAAAGCATCAACCCCCAACCCATAATAAGTTACTTAGTTTAATGTAGTATTTCTGTGCTAGATATAAAGTGGGAAAATTTTTGAATACAACCTTCATGATAGTTAGAACTGTGAATGAAAGTCAAATATGCACATTTGAGGGTAAGTGAAGTAAGAAAATTTACACTGGAAAACAAACTAAATTGAAAACATTCTTCCCAATCTTTTTAAAAAACAACAGGTTTTCTTCCCGAAGTCATAAGAAAAGTAGTAATTTTCCCTACAGTCCGGAGAAATTTTGGGGTATTTGTAGCACTTTCCTAAAATTTCTTATTGTAACTTTCCCAAAATCGATAGTTTGTTTAAAATCACGATATTGTTAACATACCTGCCAATCTACAAATGGTTCTCCAGGCTTAGATGGTGCTTTCCACCTTATTACAGCTAACTCCATGTATTTAGCGCCTGATTGAACTACCTCCATCAGTGCTTTAACTGCAAGTTTGACAGTTCCATATTCATCTGCAACAGCGTCTTTGGTATAGTTTTTCTCTAAAAATTCACGTGCGACTTTTGCATTTTTTCCGATAGCATTAGCCTTAAAGTGAACTTAAGTTGATTATATCCTACCAGCCATTCAAAGTGAGTTCCAGAAGGGTCCGTCTGGTAAAGATGGGGAGTGCCATCCTGATTAAATCCACATATTAATGTCGACACACCGAAAGGGCGACGACCGTTACTTTGGGTGTACTTCTGCTTCAACTGAGCCGTATACCTAGCAATATATTCCAGAGACACAGGATCCTCGACAGTAAGTTTATAGCTTTTACATTCTACCCTAATCCGACTGATCAAAATACGAGCGTCCGCAGTGAGCCCTACGACGCAATTAGTAAATAGAATTGTTTACCTGCAAAGGCAACTGCGACGTGATCATCCAAAAGAGCTATTTTCCTGACAGTTCTGTCATTTTGTAACTTAGTTGTTGCCTTTTTTTCGACACACAGAACAACACAGTTTTTCCCTCTAACACCAATCTAAAGACTAGGAAACTTAAATAATATACTTACTGCAGTTGAACCTTTCTTGACTGCCTCTTGTGCATATTCTACTTGAAAAAGATGACCGTCCGGAGAGAAGATGGTTATCGCCCTATCATATTTTGTGGACATGATAAGTGCAAACACGCATACAACGGCTTAATCACAGTAACGCTGTAAGGTCGTTTGTAGCGGTCATTTTAGCTTTCACCTATTGGCCATTTAATAAATACTGCATAAATTTAACCAACGACTTCATTATAAACTTTTGTTTGACAGCCTTGAGACTGCTTGAGATAAAAGATTTGACTATTACATTTAATTTCCTTATTTCGTTGTTAAATGAACGACAATGCTGATATGCACAAATAGTTGAATCGGTAGCGGCTAATAAATACCTAGTATGAATAGTTGTGTAGGTCCTCGACATTGATGCTGACATTATTTTTTTTACTGGGCACACCCTATCTGAAGGCGCTCGGTCACCCATCCACACCAGGTCATGATTGAGCATGCCGTGCAACACATCCCATTCAGCTACTAGCCAGCTTGAATCAAACGCTGCTCAACAGACTGAAAACCTTAAAAATATATCTTTTAACCTATTCACCATAGAATTTTGATCTGACTGGTTTGCTCCCCTTTGATTATAACGGCACAACAGGCAAAAGCGTTGTCAAACCCTGAATATACGTCACATTGTTGAACATACAGTGAGGCACATAGATTTTCTACTCATTGGGATATTATAATTACGTTATTTATTTATAACAATTTACCCAATGCTCAATTTATTCGAGATCATCAAATCAAACCTTAGTAATGATACCTATACAGTAAGACACACCTATCTAGTCCCAACCATGAATCGTATTGGTGCACTAACCTCGTAATTGCTTCATGATGTAATAATCTTCGGACGATCACTTAAAGTCTCAGTTGTGATAATTTTCCCCGTTATCTCTCTCAGTTCCAGTAGGGTTAAAAATCTCCCAGAACGAGTTCAGAGAAAATAAACCAAGAGTGTCGTTAGACCAAAAGTCATACTTCAATCAGCTAGCCTGGTTCTTTGACTTGCTACTTACTTTAACACAAGGATAAAGATACACATCACCACGATTATACTGTAGAGTTTGCAATTCACTACAAAGCTGTAGTGATTGGAATTTCTGTGGATTTTTATAAACTGCCGGAATGTTTATCAAAGGCCTGAACGTAATGAGGTAGATAGTCCTCGATTTAATCTTTAGTCCCTTAAATTATGACTGGGTCTCCATGCTTTAGGCACGACGAGAATGGATCAAGTACTGTCCCTTATAATTCAGTACTAGGAACTCTTGTTTTCATTTATGTGAATGATCTTCCTCAAAAAGTATTTTTTTAAGTTATTACTTTTCTCTGACGACGTTATGCTTTCAAGCGATTCTTGTAACTGGTTAGGTAAATCAAAACTTCTGAAACACTGTACTCAACGTCAAAGGCAGGCAGATATCAATGAACCAAAATTCTAAAATTTAAAACGTGAAGTATTCTACTTGAAACGTGTTGCGAAATATAAATACAACCTCGGGAAGTCATCACTT